AGTCGGCCTGGGGGCCTTGGGCCCCTGTGACCCCGCTTGGGTGCTTTTGCCTTCCCCACGGGGTTTATTGTTGCAGGGGGAGGGGTTTTCTTATCCTCCCTCCCTGTATGAGTATGATTTGGGTTCGGCTCCTCCCCGTGTTCGGTTCCGGGCGCCTTTGGGTACCTCGGCTCCGTCTTTACAGGGGTTTGCTACTTCCCGTCTCTCTGCGAAGGTGGCTCGGGAAGCTCTTGCTGCATACCTCTTGCGAGACCCGGGTTATGCCTCCCCAATGGATCCGTCCTCGTTTGAGTTCGGTTCTTCTTCCCGTTTTTGGGTACGTTTGGAGGTTCCGGGGTCTTCCTGGCTAGCAGACTGCCCTTTCTTTTCGTTGGGGGCGTGGCATGGGTTCTGTCGGACCCGCACGCTTGATTGGCGCGAGACTGCTACTTTTATGCAGGTTTACCTGGGGGGTGAGTTTGAGCACCTTAATGCGTGCTTATTCGCTCCTGTGCTTTCTCGGGATGTTGGCCTTTCCAGCTTCAGGTGCAGGTTCCTCAGCTTTCGGCTTCATTGGTTGCGGAGGAGTTGCGCTCCCGTGGGCATTTGGCTTCGGTCTTGCGTTTCTTTTCCCTTCTCGAGCTCTCTTCTACTTGGCTCGAGGAGGATGTGGGAGCGTTGGCTGAAGGGCCTTCGTCCGGGGCGCTTTCTTCGGCAGCTAGGGCGTCGGCTGCACTGTTGAAGCTCTTTGCGCCCATCCTGAAGGAAGCGGTGTCTCTGTTTTTTGCTTCTCGCCTCGCGTGCCGTCAGGCTGTGCTCGCCCTCTCTTTGGATTCCGCTTGGGCCCTGGCTCTTAGGTTTTCGTCTCCTTTTTGTCCGTTGCTGTTTGCAGAGTCTGCGGTGTCCCAGTTTCTGCATGCGGCTTCGGCTAGTTGTCGTCCTATGGCGGACTTGTTGATTCTCCGGAGCAGTCGTTCTCGGCAGTTTCGGAGGGGTCGTGCCAGGGTTTCGATTTCCGCTGGTCGAGGTGGGCCTTTGGTGCCGGTTTCTGAGCCGTTGTTCCCTTTGGGGCCAGCGTCGTCTGGGCGGCGCAGTGTTCGCCCTGTTCGACGGTTGGGTTCTCGTGCGGGGCGTCGGCCCTTTCGCAGTTTGCCCCGTTGACGGGGCGATGGGGGGGAGGCTCGCTCTGTTTGCCCACGCTTGGTCCCACGATTTGTGGGCCTTTTCGGTCGTGTCATCCGGCCTGCGGTGGTGTTGGGCGACTCGTCCTCCTTTGGGGGGTTCGGGGCTAACAGGGCAGGTCTCTTCTCCTGCGCTTCGTCAAGTCATCTTGGAGTGGGTGCGCTTGGGCGTGGTCGAACCGACTACGTCCCTCAGGTGGGTTTCCCGCCTGTTTCCAGTGCCGAAACGGGACTGTGCGGATCTGAGGTTCATTCTGGACTTGTCCCGTCTGAACCCCTGGATTCCTTGCCCCTCCTTTCGGATGACTACTCTGTCTCAGGTCCGGCTTCTGTTGGAGCCGGGTGCCTGGATGGTGTCCCTGGACCTAAAGGACGCGTATTGGCACGTTCCTATTCATCCGGGGTTCAGGGACTGGTTAGGCTTCGTGGTAGGGCGTCACGCTTACCGTTTTCGATGCCTACCTTTTGGCCTGAATCTGGCACCTCGCGTTTTCACGCGTCTGACCCGAGTTGTGGTGACCCGTCTGCGTCTTCTCGGGATTCGGGTTTTGGCCTACCTCGACGACTGGCTGGTGTGGGCTCCCAGTCGGTCAGCTTGTCTGCTCGCCAGGGATTTGGTTCTTTCCCAGCTCGCCAGGTTCGGGTTCCTGGTGAACTGGAGGAAGTCCCATCTGGTTCCGTCCCAGGTTCGGACCTGGCTGGGTCTTGTTTGGGATTCTCGGACCGCTTCCTTGTCTCTACCTCCGGTGGCGTTGCGACGGCTGCGGGACCGCCGTTTGCTGTTTCTGAGAGGGTCCCGGGTCACTCGGCGGTTGCTCGAGCGGTTGTGCGGGAGTCTGAACTTCGCCATGCTAGTCTACCCGCCGGGTCGGGTTTGGCTTCGGCGTCTGTTTTGGTTCCTTCGGGGACGTCCTTTCCGCCTCTCTCGCGATCGTTGGGTTCGCCCTCCGGGGGTCTTATGTCGGTTGCTGCGTCACCGTCTTCCTCTTCGGATTTTTCGGGGTTCGGTGCCTTGGCGCCTTCCCGAGCCCTCGCTCGATGTGTTCACGGACGCGTCGTCTCTCGGCTGGGGCTTTGTGACCAGTGCTCACCAGGCAGGCCAGGGTCGGTGGGGTCCGTCCTTCCATCGGGCTCACAGCACGGTTCGGGAGTTCGCGGCTGTCTGGTTCGCGCTTCGGAGGGTTCGGGTCGCTCGGGGGATCGACCATTCGCCTCCATTCGGACTGTTCTCCGGTGGTTCATTGCCTGAACCGCGGGGGTTCTCTTCGGTCCTTGGCTCTTTGGGGTTGGTCCCTTCGAGTGGTTCGTCTGCTGGATTCTCGGGGTTTGGCTCTCCGTGCGGTTCACGTCCGGGGAGTGTCCAACGTTCTGGCGGACGGTCTGTCTCGCTTCCTTCCCCTGTCCACGGAATGGACGGTCGACGACGACTCGTTTCGTTGGATCTGCCAGACGTACGGTCTCCCAGATGTGGACCTCTTCGCGTCGGCGTGGTCCCGGCGTCTCCCTCTATATGTGACGCCCTTCCCCGACTGCGAGGCGTTCGCGGTGGATGCTTTTCGGCTGGACTGGTCGAGGTGGGGTTACCTGTACCTTTTTCCTCCGGTCCAGCTGTTGCTTCGGGTTCTGGTTCGGTTAGAGACATTCCCGGGGAGAGTAGTCCTCGTGGCCCCTTGGTGGCCGGCCCAGCCTTGGTTTCCGGTGCTTCTGGCTCGGTGCCCGAACCCGGGACGTTTCCCGCGGCTCCGCCTCTTTCAGCAGGTCGGTCCGATCCGGTACGGGGCTGGTTCGACCTTCTCCTCTGCTCTTCGCGTCTGGTCTTTTTGACGCGGGTGTATCACCATTTCTATGGTGATCAGGTGGCTGAAATAAAAATTCAGGTGAAATTCAGGTGAAATAAAAATTCAGGTGAAATAAAAACATTTCTTAATGTTTTTATTAAGGCCTGTCGGCCGTCTATCACTCCATCATAGGAGGACGTAATGTATGGGGGGTTTGATAGGGCTGGTAAGAGCCCGACTTTGGTTAGAAGACACATAAAATGCTTTTTTTCTCTCAGCCCCCCCCCCTCCCCCTCCCGGGGAGGGGAGGGCTGCGCGGACGACCGGCGCGGCAGTAAATTGATTGTTTGATTGTTTTCCTTGGGATTGTAGGGAGTTTTCTACCTCTCTGTTCGGTTTTTGTTGTAGTTTTTTACCATGTGGGGTTTGTTTTGTTACGCCTACCTTTCTGGGTGCCTAACCCCGGTCGATGGCAGATAAGGAAAACCCCCAACCATATGGGGTTTTCCAGGGCCATTGCTCCCTGAAACCTCTCTGAAGGGGCCAGGTTCTGGCGCTGGTCCCTGGTAGGTCTGAACTCCATAGCTAATGTCCCGGTCTAACATAACACACATTAGCCCGATAAGCTCCAGGGAGCCTCCGGGGCTCACCCAGAAAATGGCGTTTCATTACATTCAACGCTGGTTTTTTTAATTCATTATTCACAACATTATTTAGTGTATGTGGGTTGAGGTTTGAATAGATAAGACTAACCAGTTAACACTAGTGCAATTACCTAAGTATAGTTATAGGTTGAGAGCTATGCTCGTGGAGTCCTGTCTTCCCAACACACTGTCATATAACGCTCTGAAACTACTGACGTTTTTGGCCTCCACTACTTCATTTAATTTATTCCAGCCATCTACCACTGTTTGCAAAACAAAACTGAAATATTTTTTGGGCAGCTTTGTTTCCTTAGCTTGAAACGTGTTCTTGATGTTGCCAGTTTCAGCAATTCCTCTGTCAATATGGCCATTTTCCATTATTATTTTGTAAGTGGTGATCATATCTTCTGTCTTCTATATTTTAGCTTTGGCATATTAACATTTCTAGCCTCTTCATAACTCGTCTTTCAGTTCTGGAAGCCATTTTGTAGCATGCCTTTGCACCTATTCCAGTTTATTGATGTTTTTGAAATATGGTGTGTAATTACCTAAGTGGGTAATTACACACCATATTTCAAAAAGAACATCAATAAGTGTGTGTGTAGTCTGGTACTTACCATTCTAAGGAAACTAGCATTTATTAAGAAATTATAAGTATTGTACCTGCAAATGAGAGGATAAAGTATTAAAATGTATACTGTATTACTCTTACTGTACAAGATTGAAACATAACATATTCTCATTGTATATTAATAAAACGATGCTATACCATAACATACATGTTATTGGATGTAATGGTTTGAACATAAAGATTTAATACCTGTAGTAGGAACCACTATGTTAATTATATGATTTGATTCATTTGATTTGTATATAAGAAGATATGCACCATAAATGTACATATACTTCAAGTGTAAACACAGCAAAACCCATTGATTTGGGACGGCATGACTGCAGAAGGTTGATGTTTAATTAAAGTGGTGGGGTCAGAAAGCTTGATCCAAAAGCAAAAGTTCGATGGTACAGCTAGGTGACAACACACACACACTCAATACAGTGTAATGTTATACATTACATTGTATCATTGTCAATGATAACATCATTGATAATGATAGTTATCCATAGTTATCCATCATTATCAATGCATTATTCAGTAAATTTAATATAATTTACTGAATAATAATGTTAATTTTATTTCCTTAGGTTACTGAAGGCATTGCTAAAACTCGACACTCTGTTGCTGGAGTAGGTCTGATCTCTCCGCCTCCTCATCATGATATCTACAGCATTGAGGACTTGGCTGAGCTTATTTACGATCTAAAATGTGCTAATCCAAATGCCCGAATCTCTGTCAAGCTTGTGTCTGAAGTTGGTGTTGGTGTGGTGGCATCCGGAGTGGCAAAGGTGAGAAGCTTTCTTAATTTTTTTCATGATAAAAGTTATAAGTTCAATAGTTATTTTTAATATAGTGATGATTTTGGGAATAAGGATTTTTGCATTTTAATATCTATGGCAGAGACATCGGGGAAGGATTCAAAACTGTACTCCTCATCCCACCCTGTGAATGAGCACATAACAAACACTAAACTGGCGCAGGTGACATGTCACACCAATCAGCTGAATCAAAGAACAGTAACTGAGAGAGAGCATCCAGAGGGTTCTGGTGCAGACTAAGTTCCAATAAGCATGGGAATCATGGGGGCACGAAGTACAGGGGTCCCACTGGGAAAATGAAGCACTGAGCTTGCTACTACTATTTCACACTAAGGGCAATTTCCACACGGAAAACCCATGGCCAATATCCCAGGGCCATCACAAGAGCAATGAGAAGTGGGAGTGGGGCACAACATAGCACTACTTATATTAAGAGTCTTAAAGCAAAAGTACCCCAAGAACAAAGGGAATCCATGAACTGAACATTTAAATTTGATTGTGGGTTTTAATTTGTGAATATTTTTGCAAAATGTATCCCCAGTGCAAAAAGAAGGACCACCATCTATATTTTATTTATATTTGAATAGTACTAGACAAATTAAGAATGTAAATACTTTATAATTTTTTTGTTTATAAAATTAGTTTTTATACAGCACTTGTAATGCACAGTATGTTCAGTACAGTACCGCTTTATTTTAGGGAAAAGCGGAGCACATCACCATCTCTGGTCATGACGGTGGTACTGGTGCTAGCAGCTGGACGGGGATCAAGAGTGCTGGTCTGCCGTGGGAGCTTGGGATATCAGAAACTCACCAGACACTTGTGCTGAATAACCTTAGGTCTCGGATTGTTTTGCAAGCTGATGGACAAATTCGCTGTGGTTAGTCAATTGCTTAATAATTTCTGTTGATATAATGTCACTTTTAACTATATTTATAGCAAGTTGTTACATCTCTAATGCTTACTAAAATTTCTATATAATAGGAAAACTGCTAATAGTAATAGTATTCTTATAACTCTGAATTTTGTTTGAAACATGAATCCATCACATTATGTTTAGCAGTTGGTTTTAAATTACAGATCATGTGGTAACATATTAATGTCTCAAATGAAATTATTGAATTTCATTTAATTTCGCTAAATCCGCTACTAGGCTAAAAATTCTAGGTCAGTTGCACTAACATCACACACAATACGTTTTTGAGAGTGATTAGGAATCAAATCTCCAGTTTTATGGAGAATGATGAACTTGACAACTCAGGTCAACATGGATTAAGAGCAGGAAGTTTCTTTCACAATTACTCAATCACTATGACAAAATCACAGAAGCATTAGAAGAAAAGCAAAATGCAGATGTTGTATACATAGACTTTGTAAAGTCATTTGATAAGTGTGGTCAAACTGAATGTGAAGATTAACACTCAAATAAAATAATGTCCAACTGCAGTGAAAGCTCTGTACTACAGGGCACATTCCTGGCACCACTGTTTTTCTCATATACATATCAGATATAGACAAAAATACAAGTCACAGCTTTGAGTCATCCTTTGCAGATGATACAAAAATCAACCTAAAAATTTCTTCCAGCTTGTGTCCCAGCATTTTATGGAAGACCTTGTCAAAGGCATTTTGTCACTCTCAAGTGGGGTGCAGTTTTTCCAGCTCTCCTAAAGCCTCGTCTTAGTGACTATTATGTATATAACTGTCAGGTTTTCAGGTTCGATTTTCTCCCTTCAGATTCACTCTGTTATAAAGCTTGTCATCTCCAGATGATCCTCCATTTTTAGTCTGTATTCGCCTAACTGTGTGTGTGTGGGGATTGAACTCAAGCTCTTGGTCTTGGATATGAAGTAAAAATTGTATGGTAGCATTCTCTTAACTTTGATGAAGCTTCAAATGCATGTGAAGTAGAACGGGTAAAAACGGATAAATCTAAGCGCCAGATGGTCAAGAAAACTACATGTATGTAGTGTTCTATTAAAAAATTAAAAGGAATGTATGCAAGATTAGAAGTGATAGAAGTAAGCAATGGCAAATGGAAGGTGTAGGATGGCACTGGATGACACAAAAATGAAGTACAGGATAGTAGAATGAATTAAGAGCTTGACAGCTCCTGGTTATAGACAAAATTATGGTTGATCTGACACACACAAGAATATACATGTGTAGTTAAAGGGGAATAATGATGGATATAAGCTTAAACGTGTGGAAAGAGAGGGTTAATAAACACACAAGTTCTATGGTGCCATAACATGAATAGAAAAGGCTAGGGCATTAATTTACTGGAAGACTTGTCATGCCTTCCTCATCAGAGAAAAGCTCCTTCATGAAGGTGGAGGGTAGGGGTAAGGGGGTATAAGGCATCAAAATACTGTATATAGTTAGAATTATCATGCAATATATGCTAACAAAACACTTGTCATCTAGGACTGGATGTTGTGATTGCTGGCATGTTGGGAGCTGATGAGTTTGGCTTCAGCACTGCACCGCTTATTGTCATGGGCTGCACCATGATGCGAAAATGTCACCTCAACACCTGTCCAGTTGGCATTGCAACTCAGGATCCTGCCCTTAGGAAGAAATTTGAGGGCAAACCAGAACATGTAGTCAATTATTTGTTCTTGTTGGCCGAAGAGGTAACGGGTTGCTTTTACTTCTGTTATTTACCACTTCACTATTATTTATTTAACTTCTTGTTATTTATAACTTCTTGTTATTTATTGTTATTTACCTGGGCTGAAGATATGATGACCAAACCACACATCAGAAGATGGAGAATCGACGACGTTTCGGTCTGTCCTGGACCATTATCAAGTCATGTTTGAGGCACGACTTAATAATGGTCCAGGATGGACCTAAACGTCGTCGTTTCCATCTTCTGGTGTGTGGTTTGGTTGTCTGGTTATTTGTTTCAGCCACATTATTGTAGCTTATTCTCAGCAACCAATACAAACCATCATCTGAGAAATGTCAAAGGAATGAGTCCAACAAGAACTCATTTTCTTGTAATTTCTTTGTGTTCAATTTTCTCCATCTTTGTGCTCAGATTATCTAGTACTGTATTTTTGGGTAAGACACTTGGTGCTTCCTGCAGTCATCTTACCAAGATTTCTCCATACTCTAGGTCACACTAGTTGTTGGAATTCTATTTAGCATAATGAAGCCCAGTGCCAGCACCTGGCCTCCCTCACAAAGGCACCAAGGGCAAATGAAATTGTCATTTCATGGGGAAGGCATCCAGGAAGTCAGCAAAGCTTTGCAGATAACTGCTGGGTTCACAAGCCTCAAAGCCGCAAAATTGCCAAAGAACTCCCCAAATAATTCAAATGATAAAAAATAATTCACTCAAAACTAGCTCAAACCTTTTAGCACTGATTGCTGCCACCAGGTGGTCTGGAGCTCAGTCCTCTGCCACCTCACCAGCCAATTCTGTTGCTGATGTTGCCCAGTGCATTATAGTGGGTCATAGTGCTTCTCAACTAAGTGCCAGCCATCTTATGACTTATCCTGTGGAGGTCATTTGCTTGTATATTGTTCCAATATAGTATTAGCTTCAAGACAGTGTTCTCTATCCGAGGTGTTTTTGGGCTTGGCTTTTTGTGCTCTGAACTGCATGCATCCAGCAGTTACGGATCATTTTACTCCTGTGGTTAGGCCTGTGGTTGGAGTGTTTAAGTCAGTTCTGCTGGGGTTCACTTGGGGCTCACAGCTTTGTTTATATGGCATGCTATGGTTGCCATTTGCAACCCTGGTCCATTGGGCTATTTTTGGTTTCTGTTCTTTCGGTGAGTTTCCCCAGTGCCTGGGAGCATCTGTCTGGCATATTACCGGCAGGCCCTTGGCATTTCCCCCCCCCCACTCCCCACAGGTCTCTGACAAGGTTAATTATGTGAAATGGATTGCCTATCAAGCTTGCTCTCACCAGTCAAGAGTTTTAAGGATGTTCATTACCTTTGGTACATGATGATCATTTTTTCTGCCTCTACCTTGCTGCCTGTTGGGTTGGCAAAGCTTATGATCCTGTATCTTGTGTGGTTTGTTTCCCCACCAGTTCTGGCTCTTTCCTAATCCTGCTTGAGATGGAGGCATTTCATGAAGCTGCAGGTTTATGGCCTTGGTTTGTCAGAGTTCAGCATTTGCAGCTTTGTGCTTACTGTAGCTGGATGCCCTGGAATTACCCCATTTGGTGTTTAGGGACCCGGGACTGGATGTGTTGGTGATCTGCACCTTGGTTTATAATTCACCTTGGGTTCACCTTGGTCTGATTTAGATTCCCATTACTATTTTGTACGTAGTGATCATATTGCCTCTTTTTTTTCTTCTGTCTCCTAGTTTTAGCATATTTAATGCCTCTCGCCTCTCCTCGTGAGTCTTGACTTTCGGTTCCGGGATCCATTTAGTTGCACATCTTTGCACCTTTTCCAGTTTGTTGATTTGCTTCTTAAGATATGGGCACCATACAAGCACTGCATATTGTAGCTGTGGTCTAACAAAGGTTGTGTGGATCAGTCCAGCAATGTACCTCACTGGTTAACTTTCTTGGATATTTGTTAACCTCTGACCTTCTCATGAGCTTTATGCTCCTCATGAGCTGTCTTGGTCACTAGACAATCCTTGATTTTTCTCTCCTTCCCCATGGTTCCTGTCTGCTCTCTCCTCCTGCAAGGTTCCCGTCTGCTCTCTCTCTCTCTCCTCCCCCCAAGGTTCCCGTCTGCTCTCTCTCTCTCTCTCTCTCCTCCCCCAAGGTTCCTGTCTGCTATTTTGGTTTGCTTGAACTGTGGGGGGGGGGGTTTCAATGTGGTCCTGGGCTCTTTGGGGCTAGTCACTTCGGGTGACTCGTCTACTGAGTTCTCAGGGTTTGGCTCTCCTGGCGGTTCACGTCCAGGAGGTTGTCCAACGTCCTGGCAGATGGGCTGTCTCGTTTCCTTCTTTCCACTTAATGGACGGTCGATGCTGATTCCTTCCGTCGGCTGTGCCAGACGTTCAGGACTCCGGACGTGGATCTCTTTGCGTCGGTGTGGTCGAGGTGTCTCCAGTTATACGTGGCGACATTCCCCGATTGCGAAGCCGTTGGGGTCAATGCCTTCAGGCAAGACTGGGCGAGGTGGGGTTACCTGTACCTCTTTCCCTCGGTTCAGCTGTTGCTGCAGGTCCTGGCTCGCTTGGAGACTTACCAGGGACGAGTTGTCCTTCTGGCTCCTTGGTGGCCGGCCCAGCCTTGGTTTCAGGCCCTGCTTGCTCGGTGTTCAAACCCGAGGGTCTTCCTGCGGCTCCGCCTCTTTCTGCAGATCGGTCCAGCCTGGCACGAGGCTGATTCGGTCTTCTCCTTGAGTCTTCGTGTCTACAGTTTTTGGCTCGGGTTTACCATCACTTGTATGTTGCGTAGATGGTTACGTTGTTGGTCTTCCACCTGCGTGCTTCGTCTCAGCGACAGTATGAGGTTTCCTGGCGGTCCTTCCAGTTCGCCCTATCACTGCGTAGGTATTCCTCGGTCTCTGATAGGGCTGTTCTGTCCTTTCTCTCTTGGTATTTCCAGGACCATCATTTTATTCCGAATACTGTTACCTCGTATTGTGCAGCATTGGCAGAGCTGCTTCAGCTTGTTTTTGGTGTTGTTGATACTTCTGCATCGTTCCGCAAGCTGTCTCCGGCATTGTTTCACCTCTGGCCTGCTCATGCGTCTCTGGAGCCGTCTTGGTCTTTGGCCCGGGTGCTCTTGTTTCCATCTTCTCCACGGTTTGGTGTGGCCCCTTCCGTTCGGATTGTTTTTCTAAAGCTCTTTTCCTGTTGGCATTGGCCTCTGGGGGGTTGGGTTGGGGAGCTTCATGCTCTCCTCCGGCGCAGAGGTTTCTGCTCCTTCGGTCCTGGTGGTCGTTTTGTTCGGCTGCAGCCGTCTCCTCCTTTTCTGGCGAAGAATGAAACGGGTGCATTTCGGAGGAGGCCATGGGTTGTTGATGCTTGGTTGGTCAGGCTGCCAGTGCGTCATGTGTTGTCCGGTTGCGACTCTGCCGTTATTTGTGCGTCATGGCTTCAGTGGGCGGGGATGCGCTTTGGGTTGACCTGGTTTCCCTTCTTCCCTGTTCCCGGGCTCGGATCTCCCAGATTGTCTGCCAGGTTATTAAGTCTAGCCGGCCTGAGGTTTATTCCCGTGCCCACAGCATGCATAAGTTTGCTGCTTTGGCTGCTGTCTTTAGCAACATATCTTGGGTTGACATTCAGGCGTGGGGTTTTGGAGGTCGAACAAGGTCCTGGCTGCTCGCTACTTGGTGAATATTCCGGGGCCAAGTAGGGTCTGCGTTGCCCTGGGTCGGCGGTTGCAGCCAGTTATCTCGACTTAGAGTCGAGGAGTGAGGATGAACCGCCTCCCGGGTAAACGGCCTGTTTTTCCTTATCTCTGGGTAGTTAGCTCCAAGGAGCCGACGGGGCTCCCCCCAGAAAACCAGTGCTGAATGTAAAGAAACGCCATTTTCTGGGTGAGTCCCGGAGGCTTCCCTTCATCCTTCCCTCCCTCTGGTCGGCGGTGTTTTTCACACTTTTTGACATCCAGCCTAAGAACTGTAGGTTGGGTTGCCGGCAGATGGGTCTAGGGCTCCCCCTTCCCCCTCCCAGGAAGTGGGGGGGTGAGTTGTGCAGACAACGGTGCGGCGACATGATGACGCATGCTCGTTTGCTAATTTCCGTTTGGGGAGTTCTGTCCACCTGTTCGGCTTTTGGTCGCAATGCTTTTACTAGAATAGGGGTTTGTTTTGGGGTGCCTACCTATCTGGGTGCCTATCCCGGTTGATGGCAGACATAGAATGCTCCCAACCACGGGGGTGGGGGGGGGGTCTATAGGCCATTGCGCCTCGTGCCTCTTTAGAGGGAGGCCAGGTTCTGGTTTGTGGTCCCCGGTAGGCAAGAACTCCATGCATTGACTGATGCCAAAAAGATATACAGTACATATCCATTCAGCCTGGATTGCTCCGGGGAGCCTCCGGGACTCGCCCAGAAAATGGTGTTTCATTACATTGAACGCGCTTTTTTTTTTTTTTTTTTTTTTTTTTTTTTTTTTTTTTTTTTTTTTTTTTTTTTTTTTTAAAGCATTTTCTTGCTGGCTCTTTCCTTAAGTGAGCATCATGTTCTCTGGAGGCAGGGGTTCTTCTCATTTAGCCATAGTGGACATTTTTCTTTGTTTTCAACAGTGTTTCTGGCAAAGAACATGTCAGTGGGCTTCTGATTGGGCTCGTTGTTTATTAATGGTCAGTTGATATGGCTTGATAACGTACATCATTTGTTCTATCTGATGGTGGCAGTTCATAGCTACCTGCGTGCCACAGGCTCTGCTTTCTGAGTTGATCCTGTTTCCTTGGTTCCCTATTCCCAGGCTCATATTTCGGGTTGTTTGCAATGTCTAATCTTGCCAGCCCGTGGTTAACTGCCGGGCCATGACATTTGCAAATACAGTACTGAATGCTACTCTCATTGTGGTCATTTCTAATACTATATGCCTTGGGCAGATATTTGACCTCGGGGAATTTTTGGCAGTTAAACTGGGTCATGGTGATCAGGTATTTAGTCAGTGTCTGACCCTCATCGGTCCTGTGTTGCTCTGGGCACATGTCCCAGCTGATGATCTTTCCTTCTAATTAGTGTCTTTTGCTTCTCCTTTCTTTCAAGTCCCTCATTTTTCTGTGGTTGGCAAGTTAAGTTTTAGTCTTAGTGTTTTTCCTGCCCGAAACGCTTTGCGTAATAGTGGCTTTAGGCATTATATGTACTAGCTCTATCTATAAATCCATCAACTTTTGTATTTCACCTTGTATGTATGTACTTTACCTGAATAAATATTTGTATTTGTAATCATTTGGGCAGGAGTGCGAGGCTTTAAGCATTGTGAACTCAGCAGCTTCTGTAAAGCTTTGCTGACTTTCTGGATGCATTTCTGGTGAAATGGCAGAATGTCATTGGCTTTTTGTGTGTGTGTATGAGGAGGCCAGGTTCTGGCTCCAATCTCCAGAAGGCCAAGGAGAACTCCAGCAACTGAAATGTGTAGTATGGAGCAATTACAGGGAGCCAATAAGGAGCTTCTCCAGAAAGAGGCAATCATTACATTCAGTGCTAGATTTTTAGAGCATCTGCCAGGAAACTTATAACATGATAGTTATCATTTGCATCGAATAAACAATGATATATATGAAAAGTTAAAATCCAAGTCAGCAAGTACCGGATATTCATTTGGGGGTAGATAAATATTTTAAAATCATAAGGCTATTAGAAAAGGTAAATGAGAAGAGTAAGGGAAAATAGCAAACTTCCATAATGAAGAATATAGTTTAGGTTATTCAGTCTTTTAATTGTTGATCATATTCTGTACTATTCACTATTTTAATAGGTACGTGAACTCATGGCATCATTGGGTGTTCGAAAGTTTCAAGACCTCGTCGGGCGCACTGACCTACTTCGTGTACGAGATTCCTGTTCATCAAAAGCCAAACTTTTGGACTTATCCCACATACTGAAAAATGCACTGCACATGAGACCTGGAGTTAACATTGTGGGAGGATCTGTAAAACAGGTATATCAATACATTATTTTGTCTACATTATTTTCTAATTGTTCCTAAGTTATGAACATCTTGTCATGTATGTGCTTTTCATCTGAACCAAGATTAACAGTCTAAACATTTGTATTCCCATTTTGTTCCAGGAGTTTGGGCTGGAATCTCATCTTGATCAACAGATTTTGAAGGAAGCAGAGCAAGTGCTCAATGGCACCAGTGACAATGTAACCATTAACACTACAATTGATAATGAAGTTCGTGCCTTTGGATCAACACTCTCATATCACATTGCCTTGTAAGTCAAGTATTATATTATTCACTGTCAAATTTTAAACCATGTTGAAAATGTCTCTCTAAAATAATGTTGATTACATAGACATGGTAATCATTTTTTCTTAGCCCTTTTTGAAAATAGAACATTGTTCTTGTTTTCCAGAAAATATGGAGAAGATGGACTCCCAGATAACAGTATTCAAATCAGCCTCGCAGGATCTGCTGGTCAGAGCTTCTGTGCTTTCCTCGCCAAGGGTGTTTCCGTCACTCTTGAGGGAGATGCTAATGACTACGTTGCAAAGGTTGGCAGTTTTACTTGAAATTCTCTTATTTATACAGTATACATGTGCTGTTCTGTAATTTGCCAGAAAGAAATACAGTTGGCAAAGTTTGAAATATCATATAACATTTACCCTCAATTTACTAAGGCAATTGACAATGAAAATCATACAATTGAAGGTTATACTGTGTAGGATGGAAAAGATACATTTCAGGGACTTGCCAAATTCCCATTATTTTCCAATCCTATCTCAAGAAAACATATTAAGTACAAACCAAATCCCAGCACTAATGCTATGCAGTACTGTACTGTAAATTAACTTGAGAACAGGTACTCGTTAATGTTTAATAATAATATACTGTAGAGACGAGGTTCGTGGGAAATCATTGGGGGTCAAACAGCTTCCACCTTGTCACTTGCAGTCATTTGATATCATTCTAGTATTTACTGAATGTCACTGAGCCACATAGCTTTTTAATTTTGCTTAATTCTTCTTTGTTGTGCATGTGCTGCGGTTGTGTTGCAGAGTATTGTACGGCTGCCTAAGTGAGGCAGCAGTCACATTCTCATGTTGATGATTTTAAATTTGTCTAAAACCTATATTTCATTTTGTCTCTTCATAAATGTATTTTTGGGTATAGGATAATGTACAAGTTTGGGAGGTGCTGTGAAATAAGAAGAATGTAAAATAAATTCAAGTTCATAAATATGTCAAAGTAGTAGTAGTAATCGTGAATCTGACGTATTCTATCAGCACTTGTGACTGCTTGACGGTAGTGTGCGAGACATCACTATACCGTCCAATTGGCCTGGAGAGTAGAGTGGTGGTCTCGCTTCAATTTCTGGCTCTTGGCCATTCAACTTCACCCAAGAATGAACCTTTTTATGGTGGTTCTTTTATTTTTTGTTTTTACCAGTGCCATGTTCTGTTGGATCCAGTCATTGTTGTTACCTTGGCCTACTAGTCTATTCTGTGGTGGGCTTGAGCCATTTCTTTCACATTAGCTTCATTTCCAGATGGGATTTTTCTCTTGGCATTCTCTTACTCTTCACAACATAAGGAAAACTAATCTTAACTCTCTTTTATTTTGTATTTAAAGACTTTATGAACTTTATTTAACAATACTGTACTGTGTATGTTGCATGATTATACTTTTAATTCTCAGGGACTATCTGGAGGTGAGGTAGTGATTTACCCACAGAGAAATTTACCTGAAGACTATAAAACTGAAGAGAATATCATTGTGGGTAACGTGTGCCTGTATGGAGCGTCCAGTGGCTCGGCATTCTTCAGAGGAGTGGGTGCAGAGAGATTCTGTGTTCGTAATTCTGGAGCTGTAGCTGTTGTTGAGGTTAGTAGGAATTGCTTGCGATAGACAGCATTGTTTTTGTAATCTGTGAAAAGATCTATGCTTGCAATTATAATAAGTGTTTCAAAGACTTGATTGCTAATTGTCTTAACTATTATTAATTGGGTTCTTACATAGGCATTTATATAATAATTGTAGAATAGATGCATTATTTTCAGAGTATGATCATTTATGTTGTGAAGATGAGATATTCTTAACCTTTTGACTGAGACATAATTATTTTGGCTGTATCTAAGGTTGAACAGATAAATACAGATAAATACAATAATTAAGTATAATCATTGTTTGACTGAAATTGGCAAATGAAAACATTTATATACAAAATAAGCTCTTGTAAATCGGTTCCAAAATACTTGCATACAGTACATTTCTCGTACACAATACAGAGTAATGTACAATATAGCACCTTAATTCATAAACCTTAATTTGTAAATAAAAAGTGGAAATATGTGAGGTGTAAGGATAAGTCTTGAAGGTAGCATAATTGTCGATTGTTAGCACTATCACTAATGGTCAGATTTGATTCCATTATAAACCGATGGCAACATTTATTGAGTCCATGTGCCGGCTTTCAATGTTAGAGGACAGGACCAAACATTACACAATTAGACAACTTTTCTATAAACATGGATGAAGGCCACACATTGATACCCAGGCACATCTTTGTCATTGACTGCTATTGTTTAACACAGCCAAAGAATTAATGGTATTAGAAAATTTTCCCTTGATTGTGCAGCTATGTAGTGATTTATTATTGTAAGATTCATTTCTTACTGTAGTGTTCATTACAGTGCACACGGAAATCACACACATGTCGGGAAGTAGGAATAAATATTGAGGGTTGTACACTGTATGGGCTCACTGTTTATTCTTTACAGTATTTGATCGTTGTTTGGAACTTTTGTAGGGTGTTGGAGACCATGGGTGTGAGTACATGACTGGTGGACGTGTACTGATTCTTGGACAAACTGGGCGCAACTTTGCTGCTGGAATGTCTGGAGGCATTGCTTATGTGTTGGACCCCAATGGTGAATTTCCAAGGTGTGTGCATGTGTTGTTGTTTTTATTTTACTTCTTTACCTCATTTAGTAGTTATCTTTTAATCAGGTATAGTACTGAGAATGGGTTCACTTGCACATAAATTAATTTCTAGGTATATATTACTTCATGAAGTTGGTTTACATTGCAGTATTATATTGCAGAATTTTCCAGGAATTGCCATACTCATTTTTTATAGCAAATAGTGATGTACTGTATCACAAGAAATATCTTTTTGCATGTATGTTTAGAATTCAATAATGCTATTGCTTATTATTTCCTCTATGTACCAGTAAGTGCAATGCACAGACTGTGGAACTTCTTCCTCTCAAGCTGTCTGATGACCTGACATTTGTTGAGGATCTCTTGAGGCAGTTCCATGACAAGACGGGCTCACGGGTGGCTGAAGCCTTGCTAATGGACTGGCCTGCTCAAGCCAGCAAGTTTGTGAAGGTAAACTTCTCTGTTTTATCATTGTCATTTCTATCCCTCACAAAATTTAGCCTTCACATAATGTCTGCTTTGTGAATGGGCAAAGAAATTAAGATTCAGTTTTTAGTGTTTCATCTTAGAATTCTCAATAGTAGTAATGGGTTGAGAGGAAAGCTGCGGTGTGAAATAACATGTCTTGTTAGTAAGACATTTGAGTACTTGCATGGGATGGAATGACCGCTTCCAGCTGGTAAGAGCTATATATTAGAAAATTATGTAAACTAGAATAATATTTATGATCTAAACTAAACTAGATAAACTAGAATAATATGAGAAATTTATGATTCAATTACCAATAAGACGGTATTATTAATACTGCTATTTGAGTCAAAGGAATTTAATAAATTGTAGCAAATAATATAAGTGAATAGTGATTTGAAAACTATGCTTAAAATGGAGATGTTCAAAAGTCTCTCCACGACTAAACACAGTGAAACTTGTAAAATAAAATAAATAAATGTTTATTTAGGTAAGGTACATACATACAAGAAATTTTTACAAAGATTGGTGGACTTATAGATAGAGCTAGTACATACAATGCCTAAAGCCACTATTACGCAAAGCGTTTCGGGCACTTGTTACTCTTTAATAAGTTGTACAAATCATAGGTAAGGAAACAAATGTAGGCAATGTAGGGCAAGGAAGTAGCAAGCAGACTACCAGAAGAATAACACTGACACACAGCTGGAGCACAACATAAACACAGGAAATGTGCAAACTAAATGGCACAAAACACAAACATGAAGCAGAAAATTAAACAAAATCATTGCAATGGTCCTGCATGGAATGAAACATGCCAAAAATAGCCAACACCACTTATCTGAAAGCATGAAGGTGAATGTTGGTGCAGCATAGAGGTGCAACTCTGGCTGCAACAGGCAAGTGAATGAGATATTTTTGCTAGTAAGGATCCTGAGTGACCTGACCTGCCATTCAGTGGCAGTTATGTGCATCACAGTTGGAATACTTACCCCGCACAAATGATTGTTTGCCTTTCACTTCTTGGCATTACTTTTTTCTTGTTTTGATGCACTTACACTTTCTAATGGGTGGTTTACTCTTTTGGTTTATTCTTCAGTTCCCAAGCCCTCCCCACCTTGTAAAGTGAGCCATGTTCTGATCCTTGCCCCTGGTAGGCTCTAGTAAAATATTCAGTTATTTAATTATTTTGTCATTATTAAATGATGCTGTGGGCACAAGCTGCACAGTTTTGCTGTGAGCTGGTGCAGCCTGCAGTCCCATGGTTGCCCTCTCAACAATGATTCCCTCACACCCAGGAGAGGTGTCCAGAATTCTTTTCCAAGATGGCATCTGTTTACTGGAGACCTGAGGAAGTGGATGTGAGCACTGTGTATATCTTGAGCTAGACCTAAAGTAAACCTGTCCCTGTGCATATTGAAGGGTTAAAGCTTGGCAGCCCCCATGCCATAGCTGTGGGAAGCTGAGTGGCCTATCAGAAAAGGGCTTTTTATTACATTGAACACTTGATTTCTTTGGTACAGAAACCTGATTTCTTATGTTGCAGATAAGTGCCTTGACTGGTGCCAAATGATTCTTTGGCTTTTCACAGGGATATGCTTCAGTGTGTGATGCGGTCTGTAGGCGTTATGTGCACTTCACACTTTACCGAATAAGGACTGTCATTATCTGCAAGCACCAAGTTTTTGATGTGCAAGGTCTTCAATGTGTGTCATTGCTGTCCTTGTTCCTCCCAAGGGTGGTTCCATTGTGTCACTGAAATGTGTAATTACTCAAGTGTAGTTACAGGAAGAGAGCCAAACTCATGGTGTCCCATCTTCCTATTACTGTCATATGATGCTTTGAAACTTCTGACGATTTTGGCATCCACCACCACCTCACTTGTTCCAACCATCTACCACTGTATGGTATTTGCAAAAGAGAAAAGGCACCAGAGCCAAGTCATAATCCTGTATGGTGCAGAGCATCAAGATGATGAAGGGCCAAGGGAAATGTGACTCAGGGCCCCATGTTATTTAGGAATTTGCAGCCTTGAGAATATTCTCTTAGAAATCTTAACAGCTCCTATCAGAACCTGAGGGTTCTTCCTGTGGTTCTGGCTATTGTTGGCAAGGTGTTGTTCCAGGATGCTTATCTCATTGCAGCATTCTGATGTTTCTGTCTTTGGGTCCTGCAGCCTTGTGGTTAAAAGTCTTGAGTCAGTTACTAGTTTTCCCTTGTGTGCAGTATTTCTGCCATAGTATGCTGAGAGAATACTTTCCTCTGTCCTCTTGTTGAGGTTCCAGGATGGTGAAGCTGAGAGAACATGCTCAGAAATACAGCATAGTGTAATAAAATGCCTCTTATCAAGTGGTCATCAATAACTTCCCAGACCCTTCCTTATTCTCTTGTGTGGGATGTGGTAATCTCCTTTCTGGTCTGCTTAACAGTGAATGGCTCACTTCACCTGGACTATTGGGCCTGATGGTTTGGGGTAAGATAGCAGATTAAATGTGCTATGTAGTTCGCAATTTGATGTTTTCTGAATTTGGTAATTTAATAAACTAACATGTTTGTAGGAGGAGGATTGCTGTGTTTTACAGCTTTTGCTTTGTTGTGTGAGGTTTGCCTCAGCTCAGAGTTGATTTTCAATTCTTACACACTCAACATCCCTTTCAAGAAAACAAGATAGATTCTTTGGAATGGTGCTTACTGCTGGCAATCACAGATAGTCCCAGGAGCTTGACATGTGTAATCTGGCTCTGTAGTATTAGTGCCATAAGCTGAAAGAAGCTGCTGAGGACTGCCCAGAATGAGGGGTTTCATTTCATTGAATGCTCTTATTTTTTTTATCATTGTAAGATTTTCATGAACATTTAATTTTTATAACAAGAATCAGCCTTCTTTTTTGATAACCTTTTTTTCATTCCAAGCAATACAGTGCAAACCACTTCTAATCCTGGAATTCTGGGAAAATACTATTTAAATTCATTAATAAATATTCTAATATAGTTTGGTACTAAAAAGTATACATGTTATGCAGGTGTTCCCGTATGAGTATCAACGAGCTTTGAGACATCTTGCCGAGAAGGAAGCAGCAGCACAAACGACTCCTGAAAAGGCCAAGGTGGAAATGAAGCCTGAGCCAGTCATTTGTGATATCGAAGAATCTGTTGCTGATGCTACCATGGAAAAGAAACGGCTAGAAAAGATTCTTGACAAAACAAGGTAAGATGGTTTGTGAAATTATAAATATTTGTTGCATAAAAGTAGTAAATTAATTAAAAAGCAGTCAATATTTAATGGCCTTGTCATTAAATATTGTGCACACCATTTAGGCTGAAATTGTTTTGGCTTACTTTAGAATGTCTTGGGGCCTTAAGAGCTTGATACGTAAGCTTTCATTCAATTTTTAAGACTAGGTTTTCTTTACAGTGCTTCTCATGGGACTTCAGTGCAAGCAACATTTGCAGTCTCTATAAAATATTGCCACCCAGGCTTGACCCCCCACCACATCCTGTTCACCTCACAATCTCTCATAACACAATAAACTAAAAAGTGTAGCATTGTTATTGATTCACACTTTTGATTTACCTCATGACCCACTGATCCATTCATATATATGTATGTATGTAATGTATGTATGTATATATGTATATATGTATATATACCTTGAGGTTACCTTGAGGTGCTTCCGGGGCTTAGCGTCCCCGTGGCCCGGTCGTCGACCAGGCCTCCTGGTTGCTGGACTGATCAACCAGGCTGTTGGACGCAGCTGCTCGCAGCCTGACGTATGAGTCACAGCCTGGTTGATCAGGTATCCTTTGGAGGTGCTTATCCAGTTCTCTCTTGAACACTGTGAGGGGTCGGCCAGTTATGCCCCTTATGTGTAGCGGAAGCGTGTTGAACAGTCTCGGACCTCTGATGTTGACAGAGTTCTCTCTCGGAGTACCTGTTACACCTCTGCTTTTCAACGGGGGTATTCTGCACATCCTGCCATGTCTTCTGGTCTCATTTGATGTTATTTCTGTGTTCAGGTTTGGGACCAGTCCCTCTAATATTTTCCATATATGTATATATGTATATAAAATACACACACACACAGTATACTGTATATAATAATTTATTTATTTTGAAACCAGTGGAATAACACAATTCTGGCATAAACCGTTAGCCATATAACCGTTAACCAACTACGACAATGGGTGGACTCAAGATCATTTACAACCCTCCATTAAATGACAGAAGACCCAGATTGGAGTTCGATAAGAGACAACATGGCAACCATTAATATAATAGAGAGCAGCAGCTTCAGTTACCTGCAGGAATGGATCCAGACTCTTAATCATGGGTTACTTCAACCACGAAAAGATAGATTGGGATAATGGGGAACCACATGGATATGTAAACTCTTGGAAGTGGCAATAAGAAACTTTGAGCCAATATGTCGAGGGACCCACAAGAATGAGAAACAATGACGATCCAGCTAGACATGACCCGATATTCACCTTGAATGAGTGAATAAGGGAACTCAAATTTGAAGCCCCCATGGGAATGAGTGACCACAGTGTATTGACATTATTGATGGCATATTGAGGTGGAGGTAGGGATAACGTATCCAAGGAAAGGATCGGAAATAAAAAGCCTAAATTACCGGAGAGGAAGATATGACAAGATGAGGAACTTGGAACTTCCTAATGGAAATACCATGAGAAATGGAACTCGGAGAAAAAAATGGACGAGATATGATGGAATATGTCAACCAGAAGTGCCAGGAAGCTGCAGACAGGTTTATCCCGGCCCAAAAGTGGAAAACTGAAATGCAACAGAAGAACCCCATGGTTCAATCAGGAATGTATGGTAGTGAAGCAATTGAGTACAAGAACATGGAGAAACTACAGGAATAACAGAACACCAGTGAGTAGTGATAGATACCAAAGGGCCAGAAATGAGTACCTCAAAGTGAGGAGAGAAGCAGTCAATATGAAAATGACATTGTGAGTAAAGCCAAGACCCAACCAAAACTGCTCCACAGCTACATCAGGAGGAAAACAGCAGTGAAGAAGCAAGTGATGAAACTTAGAAAAGGGGAGAACAGATACACACAGAGTGACAATTTGGTGTATGAAGAACTCAACAATGGATTCCAGGACATCTTCACAATAGAACAGGGAGAAGCCCCTGCACTAAATGAGGAGGCAAACCAAGAAACCTTGGAGGAATTTCAGCTCATTAGTGATGAAGTCAAAAGGAATCTGTTGGAGCTAAATGTGACAAAGGCTGTTGGGCCTGACAGAATCTCTCCATGGATACTAAAAGAAGGGTGCAGAAGCAATAAGTGTGCCACACTCTGTGGTATATAACAGGTTACTGGAAATGAGAGACGTACTGGAAAGCTGGAAGATGGCTAATGTAGTCCCAATATACAAAAAGGGTGACAGGCAAGAGGCACTGAACTACAGGCCAGATTCCCTAATCATGCAAGGTGATGGAAAAGATTGTGAGGAAAGACTTGTAGAACATCTGGAGGGAAAGAGCTTTGTAACACACCACCAACATGGGTTCAGGGATGGTAAATCTTGCCTCACAGGCTTAATAGAAGTCTATGAACAGACGACAAATATTAGGCAAGAAAGAGAAGGGTGGGCAGGCTGCATTTTCTTGGACTGTTAGAAAGCCTTTGACACAGTATCTCACCAAAGGCTGTTACAAAAGTTGGAGAAACAGGCAGGAGTAAAAGGTAAGGTGCTCCAGTGGATATGAGAAAATTTAAGCAACAGGAAGCGGCGAGTAACTGTGGGGGGGGGGGGGAAGACATCAGAGTGGCGAGATGTCACTAGCCGAATCCCACAGGGCTCTGTGCTTACACCCATCCTGTTTCTGATATATGTAAACAATCTTCCAGAAAGTATAGACTCATTCCTCTCAATGTTTGCTGATGATGCAAAAATTATGAGAAGAATCAAGACAGATGAAGATAGACAGACTACAGGATGACCTGGACAAACTGGAGGAATGGTCTAGAAAATGGCTACTGAAGTTTAACTCAGGAAAGTGTAAAGTAATGAAATTAGACAAAGGGAGCAAAAGGCTGAACACAAGGTACTATCTGGGAGGTGAAATCTTGCAGGAGTCAAATAGATAGCTCTGGCAGTTGATATCACACCAAACCTGTCCCCAGAGGCCCACATCAAAAGGATATCGGCAGCATATGCTAGATTGGCCAACATAAGAACTGAATTTAGAAACTTGTGTAAGGAATTGTTCAGGACCTTGTATACTACTTACGTCAGACCAGTCCTGGAATATGCAGCTCCAGGCTGGAATCCATACCTAGTTAAACACAAGATAAAGTTAAAGATTCAGAGGTATGCCACCAGACTAGTCCCAGAACTGAGAAGTATGAGCTACGAAGAAAGGCTACAGGAGCTAAACCTCACGTCCCTGGAAGACAGAAGAGTAAAGGGAGGAATGATAACCCCCTTCAAAACTCTCAGGGGAATTGACAGAATGGACAAAAGACAAACTATTTAGCATGGGTGGAACATGAACAAGGGGACACAGGTGGAAACCTGGTACCTATATGAGCCACAGAGACATTAGAAAGAATTTTGTCAGTGTTAGTAGTTAACAAATGGAATGCATTGGGCAGTGATGTGGTGGAGGCACTGTCCATACATAGTTTCAAATGTAGATTTGATAGATCCCAATAGACTCCAGAATCTGGACACCAGTTGATTGACAGTTGAGAGGCGGGACCAAAGAGCCAATACTCGACACCTGCATGCACAACTAGACAAGTATATAACCTTTTCTTAGGTTCTCACTATTTACATAGAACATTTAGAACTTGGACTTCATGTGAATGTATGTCTATATGTCAGTTATTTTTATTGCTTATGCCCTTAATTATATTTCTAAATAAGCCATTTCAATAATTGTAGGGGCTTTATGAAGTACAAGCGTGAGACGGCTATGTATCGATCAGCTGAGAAGCGGCAGAAGGATTGGGATGAAATCTACAATGTTGATGGTGTACGCCGTGGCCTGCGTGTGCAGGCTGCAAGATGCATGGACTGTGGAGTTCCCTTTTGCCAGTCTTCACATGGTTGTCCCTTGGGTAACATTATTCCCAAGTGGAATGATCTCGTATTCAATAATAACTGGAAGGAAGCACTCGGTCAACTTCTTCAAACCAATAATTTCCCAGGTTAGAACTTTAAGGTGTATTCGTGTTATATTGACAACTGTATTGTGTACATATTTAAATATGACATTTGCTTCAATGGTGTGAATAATGGTCTGAAATGGCTTCATTTTTTATTTTTGTTCTCATGATGAGGATTTGAGGCTGGCAATTTGTAACAATTATTAATGGTTTCCTTAGAATAAGTGTTTCAAGAACAGTATTTAATTTTTTTTTAACGTTGATTTAACCCTTCAATTGCATGTCACAATCCAAGGATGTATTAAAGTACAGTACCTCTTAAGATTTAAAACTTCTGTGGGTACACTGGGCACACATCCAGATTCTCAGGCCTCTAGTAAACAGGCGCCATCTTGGAAAAAATCGTGGGTACCCCTCCTGGGTGTAAAGGCCTCCAGTATTAACACAGCAACCATGAGTAGCACATGGAGCAGCGTCACTGCCATGTAGCTCGTGCCCACAGCATCACTGCCATGTAGCTCGTGCCCACAGCATCACTGCCATGTAGCTCGTGCCCACAGCATCACTGCCATGTAGCTCGTGCCCACAGCATCACTGCCATGTAGCTCGTGCCCACAGCATCACTGCCATGTAGCTCGTGCCCACAGCATCACTGCCATGTAGCTCGTGCCCACAGCATCACTGCCATGTAGCTCGTGCCCACAGCATCACTTAATGATGGAGAAATAAATAACTGCAATTATTTATCGATAATACAGTAGTGACATAAAGACCCTGACAGTGATAAAGACTACGTACAAAGTTCAGACATTGGTGAATCTGGTGCAGGTGGTGATCACAGTGTGTGGCACAAAGAGGAAGTCCTGAATCTAGCAACTTAACCCTTCAATTGCGCATCGCATCATATGATGCTTTGACCGACTTGCAGTAAATTGCGCATTGCATCATGTGATGCTTTGGAGTACTACGCAAGATTTAAACGGCCCATGGATACACGGGGTTCACCAAGAGCCCATCAGGGCTCTTGTAAACAGACGTCATTGTTAAAAAAAATCGTGGGCCAAACTCCTGTGTGTTACGGGCCTCAGTATCTAGTGAGCAAACAAGCCTGACGCACGCAGCATGAACTCGCAGCACTGCTGTTCAGCTTGTGACCACAGCATCGCCTAAGAATGCCATAATATTCTTGTTCATGCTATTATGTAGCGATGATATTATTACAGAAGACCCCTGACTGTGATAAAACTGACCAGGGTTCTGATAATAGCAGGATTGTGGTGATATTTAGCGCTGTGCGTCATGGAGGGAGGAGTAATGCTGTGGGAGGGGAGGGTAGTGGCGTTATCTTCTGACTGTGTGGCCACCTTTTATTGACTGCACTCACCATACCAGCTTAGTGGTTCGCTATGGTGAACACAAATGCAGATACTTATATATAACGTGTGTATAGAGGGTATAAACAGCAAGAGGAGTTGGTTGGGAGCCGCCATTTTGGTGAGGGAGGAGCGTCGTCTGCAGGACTTACCATGTTGTTTACTAATGACCACGATGGTCTTTGGGCACCATACCAGTTTACTTGTACAAGTATGGTGAATAAAACAGGTAGATATTTATATATAATGTGTGTATATAGCATAATAGCACCACAAACAGTATTGTTGTAGGAGAAATATTAGTGCGTCTGGCCTTGAGGGCGGTAGCCATCAGCTGACTGTGTGAGGTCCTACGTCTTTGTGCCTTTACTCACCATACAAGCTTAGATGTACAGTTATGGTGAACAAAACATGCAAATACTTGTTATATATAACCTGTGTATATAGTGTAATAACCGACAAAGTATTTGTTCACTGTTTGATGAACATAATTGAATCAACAATATGCACACCATATTTTTGAGTACAGCGATGATTCACTCATTTTATTATATAAATATATCACACTACACACTATTGAATAATATTACAGCAAAAAAACTACGAAAAATCAGAGACATTGAAATAATTAGGTAATTATCTCTTTGTGGAAACTCTGGCCTGACAGCTGGCGATCAACAGACCGCCTGGGACGCATGCTGAGTCAGTGCCTATTTTTTGCCAGAATTCCCCCGCCCTATAGCGGGCAATATATGCTACTTACGATTTTTTTATTATTTTTCCCATGATCAGTGAACACAAATTAACAGGTTAGGAAGAATTTTTTTTTTTTTTTTTTTTTTTTTTTTTTTTGTATGCACCTGTGGGTGTCAAATTGTATATAGCTATGCGCCATTTAAGGATTAAAGAATAAGAGGACACAAATTCAAGCTAAAGAAACAAAGGTGCCAAAAAATTAGAAAGTTTTCTTTTACAAACAGAGTGGTAGACTGTTGGAACAAGCGAGAAGGTGGAGGCCAAAACTATCAGTAGTTTCAAAGCGTTGTACGAAAAATTGTACTGGGAAGATGGGACACCACGAGTGTAACTCTCGTCCTGAAATTACACAGCTTTAGCACACAGCCATGATTCGGTGCATCTATGCATCATGCAACAGGACCTCTTGTTTCTTTAGGAAATGAACCTGTGAAAAATTATTCATATTAAAGATTTAGTGACCATGATTGTGTTGATGATAACAGTACTCTATTTTGGCTAGTGTTAGCACTTTATCAGGTGCCATTGGCAACTGACGAGCATATGTGGCTACGCTGTGCTTGGATGAGTGGTTACAAGATTATCACACTCGTTATCACAGAACTATAAAGTGGTTCGCAGTGGTGCATAAACATATAGATAGTTATATATATATAATGTGCAAATACAATGTGATAACAGCAAAAATTTTTGGTTTTATTCTAATATTTTACTGTGGTGTGCATATTAGTTACACAAACATTTGTGCATACCAATGTTTTATACATTGGTATGCACAAATAAGAAACCCCAATACATTATTGCACTAAACAAAAACAAAAAAAATCGTAAAACAGTAGAAATACAAAGACATAAAATACAGTATGTTAAATGTGTGCACTTACAAAGTGCACACAAAATATGTGGGTTGGGGTGGCTAGGCTGAACTTGGATCAATGGTTAAGATTATCACACTCGCCAGTATTATTTAGTGGTTTGTATCGGTGCATATATATGTAGAAAGTTGAATCTAACATGCATAAATGCATATACAGTGTGATAATAGCAAATCAGTGTTTTATTGTTAAATTTATATAATATTGTCAACATGTTAGGGACACGAATGTATTTGTATCGATGTTCTGCATCTTTTATTATAGAAATATCTCAAATTACACATTATTGAATAATGTAACTGCAAAACACCAGTGAAAAAACAAATTGGTGATACTGAAATAAATTGGTATAAATATATTCGAGGCAGCTCCCACCTGCATACCTGGCCTGCATGACTTAGGTATGTCTGCTCCATGAACTCTTGAGAATTGTGACTTCATTACATGTTTTCATCTTTCCACCACAGCGAAAGTAAGCTATAACAAATTTTTCCCATTATCAGAGAATTAATTTTAACAAACAGTACTAAAACAAAAATTTCAGAATTTATTTTTTCTTGTGCACAGCTGGTAAACATGTTAATCAAGTGCACAGTACAGGGATTAAGCTTTTGTTATGCACTGAACTTATTGTTCTGTTTTTTTTTTTTTCAGTAAACTTTTCAAATCTTAAAACAATTTGACCACTTTTTCAGAGTTTACTGGTCGAGTTTGTCCTGCTCCTTGTGAAGGTGCTTGTGTTTTGGGCATAAACGAGCCTCCAGTGACAATCAAAAACATTGAATGTGCCATTATTGATCATGCATTTGAGCAAGGGTGGATTAAGCCTGAGCCCCCAGCACTGAGAACAGACAAGAAAGTTGCCATAGTTGGCTCAGGACCTGCTGGCATGGCTGCAGCACACCAGCTTAACAAGGTGAGATGGTATTTCTCCCATCTACTGTATGGGGTATTTGTCATTCAAAAGCAAGTAAGGATACAAGGTAAATATTTATTCCTTACAGAAACTTAGGGATTTTTTAATAAATAATTTCCTTTGTCTTTATGCACTCTTTATCTATTGGACAGTCAGGGAACTGGAAGCTATACATCTTTTGTTATTAATTTTCCACCAAATTAATAACAAATGCTGTCTCTTCTTCAGCAGGCGTATTGCAGTTCTCAATACTAGTGCCACCTCACTCACATATCCTTTCACCCCATATTACACCTCTCTCTTCTTGCTTTTCCACACATTTATGATAGTCACATTCACGCTTCTCCTTGCCGTCATCCACTTTCCATACTTAACCCATCAGTAATGACACTAGCACAGTGATCTATGTCCTCGGCTCTAAGTCTAAGGGACCCAGGTGTAATCCTCAGGCAGGAGAGAGATGGTTGGGCATGCTTTCTTTCACCTGATATGTCTGTTCATCTAGCAGTAAAATGGGTTTCTGAGAGTGAGATGATTTTTGTGGGTTAGGCCCTGGGTAAGGTCAGCATAAGTAGGGGAATATTGATGAGTGGAAGCAGAGTTTTCCTGTTTCCAACAAAGGGAATTATATTCCTCTTGCTTCTTTATTTCTATTGTCTTGTTTCTGGGTGAACTTCAGAATTGTCTGGTCTTGCTGCTTGTGCACGCTCTCCTTCATTAACCATAATTTGTGCTGAACACCGTTTGATAGAAACCCTTCTAAAAAGAAACGGCAGTATTAAAATAAACTATAATAAACACATTCATCCTAAACTCAGGTTGAGTGAGGGGGGGAAAGACGTGCTCTAGTGAGGGGGGAAGACGTGCTCTAGTGAGGGGGAGGGGAAGACGTGCTCTAGTGAGGGGGGGGGTAAGGCGTGCTCTAGTGATGGGGGGGGAAGACGTGCTCTAGTGATGGGGGGGAAGACGTGCTCTAGTGAGGTGGGGGGAAGACGTGCTCTAGTGATGGGGGGGGAAGACGTGCTCTAGTGAGGTGGGGGAAGACGTGCTCTAGTGAGGTGGGGGAAGACGTGCTCTAGTGAGGTGGGGGGAAGACGTGCTCTAGTGAGGTGGGGGGGAAGACATGCTCTAGTGAGGGGGGGGGAGAAGACGCGCTCTAGTGAGTGGGGGGGGGAAGACGCGCTCTCTAGTGAGGTGGGGGGGGGGAAGACGTGCTCTAGTGAGGGGGGGGGGGGGGAGACGTGCTCTAGTGGGAGGGGGGGGGAAGACGTGCTCTAGTGAGGTGGGGGGGAAGACGTGCTCTAGTGAGGGGGGGGGGAAGACGTGCTCTAGTGAGTGGGGGGGGGGAAGACGTGCTCTAGTGAGGGGGGGGGAAAGACGTGCTCTAGTGAGGGGTGGGGGGGAAAGACGTGCTCTAGTGAGGGGTGGGGGGGAAGAGATGTGCTCTAGTGAGGGGGTGGGGGGGGGAAGACGTGCTCTATGAGGGGGGGGAGAAAGATGTGCTCTAGTGAGGGGGGGGGGGGAAGACTCGCTCTAGTGAGGGGAAATATATGCCTTAATGAGTAGGAGAGAGAGAGACCGAGACATTTTCATTATATTTGCTCATATATACAATGCTTACAATGAGGTAATCATTGTTTATGATCAAATAAGCTTGGTAAAACCTCCATTTCTTTTCACTTACAGTTGTATTTTTTGTATGGTGTGCCTGCTATTCCCTTAGTGTGACACACTTGTACAATAACTGCTCTGACATAGTACTAGCCAATCTTTTATGCAATATATATCTTTTTTTCAAGAGATTTTCCTCTAAAAAACCTGGTAACTTTTATGCCTATTGAGTTAAAAAAAAAAAAAAAATATATATATATATATATTATAATTATATATATATATATAATATATATATATATATTAATATTATTGTATATTGCTGTTGTACTGAAGTAAGTCATTAATGCAATTTTTTTATAATTTTTCAGGCTGGTCATTCTGTAACAGTGTTTGAACGGAATGACCGTATTGGAGGTTTGCTGCAGTATGGAATCCCGACCATGAAGCTGAGTAAGGAAGTAGTGCAGCGACGGGTGGACCTGATGAGAGAAGAGGGTGTTGCCTTCAAGACCAGCGTCAATGTTGGAAAGGATATCTCGGCCAAAGTAAGCAAAAATTATTTTTTATTACTAGATATTTAATATACTATGTCGGCTTCCTTGACGAGTTAAAAATTTTTTCTTGTTGTGCATCCATTTACATTGTTGTGGTGTAGTGAGTGTTAGTGTGTGAAGATGGTACAGTATTTGGTACAGGAAAGGTGGATAGATATAATTACATAATTGCTGTTATCATGTCAGCTGCCTAATGATACAGCTTACCACAATGACTGCATTACAGATAATGTACCAAATAATAATCGCCAATCCATATCTTGCATTGATATTTTGTATGCCACATGGTGGTCCTGTATTGTATACATACAGCCAAAGGTGCCGCTCACCTTGGTCAGCTGCATGTATTTCTGCGACACGTGTGTAAAGTTTGTGTTGTTTCCATGTGATGTGAGCATTTCAACCCCTCGTACCCTTGCTGGAAAAGGGTACTGGGGAAATACCAGTACCCTGGAAATATAGATACTATATTTCCATACATATGTACTGTACTGATACATATGTACTGTACTGATACATATGTACTGTACTGATACATATGTACTGTACTGATACATATGTACTGTACTGATACATATGTACTGTACTGATACACATGTACTGTTACTGATACATATGTACTGTACTGATACATATGTACTGTACTGATACATATGTACTGTACTGATACATATGTACTGTATCTGTATATAAATATAGATACAGTATATATGGAAATGGATACTGGAAAATAAAATTTTCCAGTATGCCCTCCAGATACTGGAAAATCTGAAATATATCTTCAATATTTTGGCTAAGAATAGTTTGTGTTGTCCGAGTATGACTAAGCATAATTTTATTAAGTGTAATATGCAAATGATATGGCAGGAAAGTCATTAAAACATTAGAGGAAATGACCAAAAAAATTGGTCAATGATGAATAAATTGTGCTCTGTGCTGGAAGAAGGCTTGTCACATTGTAATGGTACAGTGTGTTTAGAAGACATGTGAGGCTTAACCCCTGGGCTGCTTTTGTGATTTTAGCCTGCAACATGCCCAGGCACAAGAAATGACAAAAAATTCTTCTTATAAAAATGTTCATTTGTGGTTCCTGATCATGGGGGGAGGGGATAAAATCGTAGGTGACATATTTAGGCCACAATAGGGCGAGGAAGTTGGGCAAAAGTGAGGCGTTGACAGAGCAATCAACAGAGGTGGACAGCTCTGCCCAAGCTGTCAGGCGGGAGTTGCCACAAAGATATTATTACCTAATTATTTCAATGTCTCCGATTTATTTTTTCTAATTTTTTTTGCAGTAATATTATTCAATAGTGTGTAGTTTGATATATTTATATAATAAAATGTGTGAACCAATGCTATACACAAAAGTATTGAGCATATTAGTGATTCAATTATTATGTTCATAAAACAATAAACAAATAGGATTCTAGGCAAGCCCAAAAGCCTCTGATGTAGCCTGCATATTTATTTATTTGGAAGTATATTTAGCCTTTTCACTGAGAGTGAAAAGGCTACCCCAAAGTCATATAAGATTCCTTGCTGTTTACTCCAACTAGACACAAACACTGGAGTTATACCTCAAGTTGCAATATATTTATACATTAACACAGTGGTGACCAATACATAATTGACTAAAGAACTTACCTGCCATAATAATTCTCAGCTGTACAACCCCCCTCCCCCCCCCCCACACACCCCCCCCCCCACACCCCCCCCCCCCACCCCCCCCCCCCACACACCCCCCCCCCACCCCCCCCCACACCCCCCCACACACTCCCCCCCCACACCCCCCCACACCCCCCCCCCACACCCCACACACACCCCCCCACACACAACCCCCACACACCCCCCCACACACCCCACCCACACACCCCCCCCACACACCCCCCCACACACACACACCCCCACCACACACCCCCCCCCCCCCACACTTCCCCCCCACACTTCCCCCCCACACTTCCCCCCCACACTTCCCCCCCACACTTCCCCCCCACACACTACCCCCCACACACTACCCCCCCCCACCCTACCCCCCCCCACCCACTACCCCCCCACACACTACCCCCCCCACACACTACCCCCCCCCCCACACACTACCACCCCCCCCCACACACTACACCCCCCCCCACACACTACCCCCCCCCCCACACACTACCCCCCCCCCCACACACTACCCCCCCACCACCACCCCCCCCCCCACACACTACCCCCCCACACACTACCCCCCCACACACTACCCCCCCACCCCCCCCCCACACACTACCCCCCCCCCACACACTACCCCCCCCCCACACACTACCCCCCCCCCACACTACCCCCCCACACACTACCCCCCCACACACTACCCCCCCCACACACCCCCCACACACTACCCCCCCACACTACCACACTACCCCCCCACACACTACCCCCACACAACCTACCCCCCACACACATACCCCCACACACTACCCCCCACACACTACCCCCCCACACACTACCCCCCACACTACCCCCCCACACATTACCCCCACACACTACCCCCCACACACTACCCCCCACACTACCCCCCACACACTACCCCCCACACACTACCCCCCCCCACACACTACCACCCCCACACACTACCCCCCACACACTACCCCCCACACACTACCCCCCACACACCTACCCCCCACACACTACCCCCCACACACTACCCCCCACACACTACCCCCCACACACACCCCCCACACCCCCCCCCACACCCCCCCCACACCCCCCCCCCCCACACACCCCCCACACACACCCCCCACACACACCCCCCACACACACCCCCCACACACACCCCCCACACACACCCCCCACACACGCCCCCCACACACGCCCCCCCCACACGCCCCCCACACACGCCCCCCCACACACGCCCCCCACACACGCCCCCCCACACACACCCCCACACACACACCCCCCACACACACACACACACCCCCCCACACACACACACACCCCCCCACACACACACACACCCCCCACACACACACACACCCCCCACACACACACACCCCACACACACACACACACCCCACACACACACACACACCCCACACACACACACACCCCACACACACACACACACCCCACACACCCCCCATACACACCCCCCACACACACCCCCACACACATCTAGAAGAAAATGGGGACATTGAAACAGTTGATAAACTCGATTTAAGGAGAGGACACTATGGGGAACTTCAAAATTTTTTAATGAGTGTAATTGGACAGAATTGTTGCTAGGTAGGGAAGTAAGTTAAATGTATGCCAAATTTTTAAAAATATACGAGGAAGGCACACAAACATTCATACCAAAACAGAGATGCAGGACCAGAAAACAGGATTGGTTTGACAGAAATTGTGAGAGGGCAAGAGACCAAAAGACACAAAAATGGAATCGGTATAGGAAGAGGCCAAACCCCCAAACATACCAGCGATACAAAGATGCGAGAAACAATTATACAGCAGTAAGGAGAGAGGCAGAAAGAAATTTTGAAAAAGGGATAGCAGATAAATGTAAAACAGAACCGGGCCTATTCTACAAATTCATAAACAACAAATTGCAGGTAAAGGATAATATCCAGAGGTTGAAAATGGGAAACAGATTCACGGAAAATGAAAGGGAAATGTGTGAAACATTAAATGAAAAGTTCCAAAGTGTGTTTGTACAAAATGAAATATTCAGAGAACCAGACACAATAAGAATTCCAGAGAACAACATAGAGCGGATAGAGGTGTCTAGAGATGAAGTGGAAAATATGCTAAAGGAGCTCGGGAGGAACAAAGCAGCTGGCCCAGATGGCGTTTCACCATGGGTTCTGAGAGAATGTGCATCTGAGCTCAGCATTCCACTTCACCTGATCTTTCAGGCATCCCTGTGTACAGGAATCGTAGCAGACGTGTGGAAACAGGCTAACATAGTTCCAATCTACAAAAGTGGCAGCAGGGAAGACCCCCTCAATTATAGACCTGTATCATTGACAAGTGTAATAGTGAAAGTATTGGAAAAGCTAATCAAAACTAAATGGGTAGAACACCTGGAGAGAAATGATATAATATCAGACAGACAGTATGGTTTTCGATCAGGAAGATCCTGTGTATCGAATTTACTCAGTTTCTATGATCGGGCCACAGAGATATTACAGGAAAGAGATGGCTGGGTTGACTGCATCTATCTGGACCTAAAAAAGGCTTTCGACAGAGTTCCACATAAGAGGTTGTTCTGGAAACTGGAAAATATTGGAGGGGTGACAGGTAAGCTTCTATCATGGATGAAAAATTTTCTGACTGATAGAAAAATGAGGGCAGTAATCAGAGGCAATGTATCGGAATGGAGAAATGTCACAAGTGGAGTACCACAGGGTTCAGTTCTTGCACCAGTGATGTTTATTGTGTACATAAATGATCTACCAGTTGGTATACAGAATTATATGAACATGTTTGCTGATGATGCTAAGATAATAGGAAGGATAAGAAATTTAGATGATTGTCATGCCCTTCAAGAAGACCTGGACAAAATAAGTATATGGAGCACCACTTGGCAAATGGAATTTAATGTTAATAAATGTCATGTTATGGAATGTGGAATAGGAGAACATAGACCCCACACAACCTATATATTATGTTAGAAATCTTTAAAGAATTCTGATAAAGAAAGAGATCTAGGAGTGGTTCTAGATAGAAAACTATCACCTGAGGACCACATTAAGAATATTGTGCAAGGAGCCTATGCAATGCTTTCTAACTTCAGAATTGCATTTAAATACATGGATGGCGATATACTAAAGAAATTGTTCATGACTTTTGTTAGGCCAAAGCTAGAATATGCAGCTGTTGTGTGGTGCCCATATCTTAAGAAGCACATCAACAAACTGGAAAAGGTGCAAAGACATGCTACTAAGTGGCTCCCAGAACTGAAGGGCAAGAGCTACGAGGAGAGGTTAGAAGCATTAAATATGCCAAAACTAGAAGACAGAAGAAAAAGAGGTGATATGATCACTACGTACAAAATAGTAACAGGAATTGATAAAATCGACAGGGAAGACTTCCTGAGACCTGGAACTTCAAGAACAAGAGGCCATAGATTTAAACTAGCTAAACACAGATGCCGAAGAAATATAAGAAAATTCACCTTCGCAAATAGAGTGGTAGACGGTTGGAACAAGTTAAGTGAGAAGGTGGTGGAGGCCAAGACCGTCAGTAGTTTCAAAGCGTTATATGACAAAGAGTGCTGGGAAGACGGGACACCACGAGCGTAGCTCTCATCCTGTAACTACACTTAGGTAATTACACTTAGGTAATTACCAAAATAGAGGTGCAGGGCCAGAAAACAGGATTGATTCGACAGAAATTGTGAGAGGGCAAGAGACCAAAAGACACAAAAATGGAATCAGTATAGGAAGAGGCCAAACCGTCAAACATACCAGCGATACAAAGATGCGAGAAACAACTATACGGCAGTAAGGAGAGAGGCAGAATGAAATTTTGAAAAGGGGATAGCGGATAAATGTAAAACAGAACCTATTCTACAAATTCATAAACAACAAATTGCAGGTAAAGGATAATATCCAGAGGTTGAAAATGGGAAACAGATTCACGGAAAATGAAAAGGAAATGTGTGAAACATTAAATGAAAAGTTCCAAAGTGTGTTTGTACAAAATGAAATCTTCAGAGAACCAGACACAATAAGAATTCCAGAGCACAACATAGAGCGGATAGAGGTGTCTAGAGATGAAGTGGAAAATATGCTCAAGGAGCTCAGTAAGAACAAAGCAGCTGGCCCAGATGGAGTTTCACCATGGGTTCTGAGAGAATGTGCATCTGAGCTCAGCATTCCAATTCACCTGATCTTTCAGGCATCCCTGTGTACAGGAATCGTAGCAGACGTGTGGAAACAGGCTAACATAGTTCCAATCTACAAAAATGGCAGCAGGGAAGACCCCCTCAATTATAGACCTGTATCATTGACAAGTGTAATAGTGAAAGTATTGGAAAAACTAATCAAAACTAAATGGGTAGAACACCTGGAGAGAAATGATATAATATCAGACAGACAGTATGGTTTTCGATCTGGAAGATCCTGTGTATCGAATTTACTCAGTTTCTATGATCGAGCCACAGAGATATTACAGGAAAGAGATGGTTGGGTTGACTGCATCTATCTGGACCTAAAAAAGGCTTTCGACAGAGTTCCACATAAGAGGTTGTTCTGGAAACTGGAAAATATTGGAGGGGTGACAGGTAAGCTTCTATCATGGATGAAAAATTTTCTGACTGATAGAAAAATGAGGGTAGTAATCAGAGGCAATGTATTGGAATGGAGAAATGTCACAAGTGGAGTACCACAGGGTTCAGTTCTTGCACCAGTGATGTTTATTGTCTACATAAATGATCTACCAGTTGGTATACAGAATTATATGAACATGTTTGCTGATGATGCTAAGATAATAGGAAGGATAAGAAATTTAGATGATTGTCATGCCCTTCAAGAAGACCTGGACAAAATAAGTAGATGGAGCACCACTTGGCAAATGGAATTTAATGTTAATAAATGTCATGTTATGGAATGTGGAATAGGAGAACATAGACCCCACACAACCTATATATTATGTGAGAAATCTTTAAAGAATTCTGATAAAGAAAGAGATCTAGGGGTGGTTCTAGATAGAAAACTATCACCTGAGGACCACATAAAGAATATTGTGCAAGGAGCCTATGCTATGCTTTCTAACTTCAGAATTGCATTTAAATACATGGATGGCGATATACTAAAGAAATTGTTCATGACTTTTGTTAGGCCAAAGCTAGAATATGCAGCTGTTGTGTGGTGCCCATATCTTAAGAAGCACATCAACAAACTGGAAAAGGTGCAAAGACATGCTACTAAGTGGCTCCCAGAACTGAAGGGTAAGAGCTACGAGGAGAGGTTAGAAGCATTAAACATGCCAAAACTAGAAGACAGAAGAAAAAGAGGTGATATGATCACTACATACAAAATAGTAACAGGAATTGATAAAATAGACAGGGAAGATTTCCTGAGACCTGGCACTTCAAGAACAAGAGGTCATAGATTTAAACTAGCTAAACACAGATGCCGAAGAAATATAAGAAAATTCACCTTCGCAAATAGAGTGGTAGACGGTTGGAACAAGTTAAGTGAGAAGGTGGTGGAGGCCAAGACCGTCAGTAATTTCAAAGCGTTATATGACAAAGAGTGCTGGGGAGACGGGACACCACGAGCGTAGCTCTCATCCTGTAACTACACTTAGGTAATTACACTTAGGTAATTACACTTAGGTAATTACACCTACCTACCAGTCGGCTCTAAATTGAAAACAGTGTAGAAGTTGGGCGCTGCCAGTCCAAACATCTTGTATCGTAACGACTAATTCCCCAATTATTAAACCACCATCTAACTTTTACAACCATATCTTAATATTATATAATTGTCTGGCTGTTTAATAATGAACTATTTCTCAGACTGAAGTCTCTTAGAACCAGCCAGTAGCTTATATGGTATAAATTCATCAAGCATCTGGCAGAAATGCGATTCCAACCACTGTCCACACTCGCCAATAGTATTTAGATGCTCCAGAATATACATTGTTTCATTACAAAGACCAACCCTGGTCATAACACCAACAACAGAAAGTAACACTACACTGACTGCAGGCCAAACTCTTGGCAAAAAAAAAAAATGACTTTGGAACAAGTTGTACGAGAAAAAACAATTTGGGTAAAGTCACAGCTATTGTTGACTCAGAATTAAAGGTGCACAACTGTCATTCCCCTCCCATGTGGCCCACCCACAGAGGAACCTGGTGATATTCGATAAAGGAGTGTACACATTGTCATTCACAACAAAATGTTGCTGCCATAGATGTGCAGCTGCCAACTTATGTTTTGTAAATAGAATCTGAGTATTTAGTGCAGCATTCAAGAATTAAGTGACTTTCCCTGCTCACATGGTTTGTTGATATTGGACATATTACCACTTTCCCTGTTTCCGTCTTTTCTTATTTATGGTATCCAATTTATATAGTTTTTCACCTGTACAGTTTTTTCTGGGTAGTTTTACTTTATTTTAGGGTGATCTCGCATCTCCATGTTCTCCTCACACACCAGATTCTAGTCCTGGTGTGTGGTAGGTGTGAGCAAGTGCAGGGAGCTAGTAGTGTTGTGAACGTGTCTGAGGTACTGGTGTGTGGTAGGTGTGAGCAAGTCCAGGGAGCTAGTAGTGTTGTGAGCGTGTCTGAGGTACTGGTGTGTGGTAGGTGTGAGCAAGTCCAGGGAGCCAGTAGTGTTGTGAACGTGTCTTAGGTACTGGTGTGTGGTAGGTGTGAGCAAGTCCAGGGAGCTAGTAGTGTTGTGAGCGTGTCTGAGGTACTGGTGTGTGGTAGGTGTGAGCAAGTCCAGGGAGCCAGTAGTGTTGTGAACGTGTCTGAGGTACTGGTGTGTGGTAGGTGTGAGCAAGTCCAGGGAGCTAGTAGTGTTGTGAACGTGTCTGAGGTCCTGGTGTGTGGTAGGTGTGAGCAAGTCCAGGGAGCTAGTAGTGTTGTGAGCGTGTCTGAGGTCCTGGTGTGTGGTAGGTCTGAGCAAGTCCAGGGAGCTAGTAGTGTTGTGAGCGTGTCTGAGGTCCTGGTGTGTGGTAGGTCTGAGCAAGTCCAGGGAGCTAGTAGTGTTGTGAACGTGTCTGAGGTACTGGTGTGTGGTAGGTCTGAGCAAGTCCAGGGAGCTAGTAGTGTTGTGAGCGTGTCTGAGGTACTGGTGTGTGGTAGGTGTGAGCAAGTCCAGGGAGCTAGTAGTGTTGTGAGCGTGTGTGAGGTACTAAAGCCGCTGCACCACCAAGTTACCGAGGCCACCCAGATTTTTTAAATGCCTACATTTCATTCCATGCTTGATTTTTGTTTATGCATCTCTACAGTGCATGAAAGTGGGAAATGTAGTGTGGCATTTGATGCATAAACTGGATGAATGTTTATGAAACAACTTACATTTTTAAACTTGTTCTCCATAGGACCTGCAGGAAGAGTATGATGCATTGCTTTTGTGTTTGGGAGCAACATGGCCTCGTGACCTTCCAATTGCAAACCGCCAACTAGATGGTATTCACTTTGCCATGGCATTCCTTGAGACATGGCAGAAGAAGCAGATGGGCAACAACAATGACCACTCTGCTCTCAATGCCAAGGATAAAGATGTCATTGTTATCGGCGGGGGTGACACTGGGTGTGATTGCATCGGCACTTCTCTCAGACAGGTCAGTAGTCACTTAAAAGGTGTAGTATAGCAGCTGTATATTGCCAATTTATAAGATACTCGCTTATAGTATGCAAAGTTCAATTCAAACAAATGGTGCACTAATTGGAAGGATGGTCTTCCTTCCGAGGGGGCCTGACAGCTGTGGACAGTGCTTCGGATTCGTAGTCCTGAGGTTCCGGGTTCGATCCCCGGTGGAGGCAGAAACAAATGGGCAAAGTTTCTTTCACCCTGATGCACCTGTTACCTAGCAGTAAATAGGTACCTGGGAGTTAGACAGCTGCTACGGGCTGCTACATCCCCCCTTCCTTGGGGGTGTGTAACAAAAAGGAGGCCTAGTCATGGACCGGGCCGCGGGGATGCTAAGCCCCAAAATCATCTCGAGATAACCTCAAGAAGATGGCTGTCCCCCAATTTAATACAAAAATAAAGTAAAAGAACTTGGGTATCTCATTGTGAATTTTTTCTTTTCTATCATACAGCACTTGTATTAAATTAACTTGCTGGTGAATCCTCATATTTTTCATGTACTATTTCTGTAAGTTTTTTAATGTCATTATTTTACAGGGAGCAAAGTCAATTACAACATTTGAGATCCTGCCTCAGCCACCTCCTTCTCGTGGACATGACAACCCATGGCCTACATTCCCCAGGGTATTCAAAGTGGATTATGGACATGAAGAAGTCAAACTCAAGTTTGGACGTGACCCTCGAGAATACAGCACACTTACAAAGGTTTGTTGTTAATATTAGAACATAAATGGAACAAAATTTATAGGTGCTAATACTGTAATTATGAATTTTCTTAAAAGGAACTCTATTCAGGTGCAAATATTAATGATCTACATATTCCTAGATTGATATTTATGCTTTAAAGAAAACTGATTAAATTATTGGGATTATTGGGAATTTGAATTGGTTGCCATAGTAATAAGAAATTATTTGTACTGCACTAAAGAAGTAGGTTTCAGAGGAACTCCACTTATCATAAAATAATAGCTCTGCAGCATATGAGTTTGAATTTTTTTTATCATTTATCATTATACAGAGTATGTGTACAATACACACTACTTCTTCAAAAATCCAAATCTACATACTATATATGGTAATGGGAAAGAGGGCTCCGTGAACACATCAAGCCCTCGCTCAACGCGTCCGTGAATATGTTGTGTCTCAGCCTCGGCCACCCTGTGGTCTATCCTTGTTCCTACGACGTTCGTAAGTTTGCTGCACTGGCTGCCATCTTTGGTAACGTGTCGTGGGCTGACATTCGGGCATGGGGTTTTTGGAGGTCGAATAGAGTCCTTGGCACTTGCTACCTTGTCAATGTTTCTAGGCCTAGAAACATCTAGGCTGCATTGTCGATTGTGGAGGTCGCATTGGGTCGGCGGTTACAGTCGGTTGTCTCGACTTCGCGTTGAGTGAGGGCCGACCGCCTCCCTGTTAAGTTCCCTCTTGTTTTGTCTTTGGGTAATTAGCTTCGAGGAGCTGAAAGGCTTTCCCCAGAAAACCAGCGTTGAATGTACAGTAATGAAACACCAGTGTCTGAGTGAAACCCAGAGGCTCCCCGGTATCCCTCCCCTCCCTGAAAAAAATGCATCCCGGCCTTTTTTCACGTTTTTTGTGGTTTTTGACATCCAGCCTCAGAACTGCAGGGTGGATTGCTGGTGCAGGGGTCTGGGGCTCCCCCTTTCCTCTCCCGGGAAGAGGGGGGAGGGAGTTGCCCAGACAGCGGCGTGATGTCGTGGTGACGTCATGCTCATTTGCTCATTTTCATTTGTGGAGTTCTGTCCACTAATTTGGCTTTCAGTAGCAATATTTTAACTAGAATAGGGGTTTGTTTTGAGGCACTTGCCTTTCTGGGTGCCTGACCCAGTCGATGGTAGGCATAGAATGCTTCCAACCACATGGGGGTATCTATAGGCCGTTGCTCCTCGTGCCTCTCTGAGGGGGGCCAGGTTCTGGCTCATGGTCCCCCAGTAGGCCTAGAACTCCATGTGCATTGACTGATGCCAGGGTCTAATACATTCATATCAGTCCGGTTAGCTCTGGGAAGCCTCCGGGTCTCGCCCAAGAAACTGGCGTTTCATTACAGTCAACGCTGGTTTTTTGGGGCAATTCTGTGGTCACAAGCTAAACAGCAGTGCTGTTAGCTCATGGTACATGCATCAGCCTTGGTTGCTCACTCAGTACTGAGGTGCTCTCACCTGGGAGGGTTACCCATGATTTAAAAAAAAAAAAAGACGTCTATTTACTAGAGCCCTGAGGAAGCTGATGTGAACCCCGTGTAGTCGTGTGACTTTTAAAATCTTGTGTGGTTCTTTAAATCATATATATATATATGATGTGTGTGCCATTCAGCCACTTGTACCAAAATCATATACAGTGGTACCTCGATTTACGAATTTAATCCTATCCCGGAGATGGGTTGTAACTCAACGAATTTTTGCATAAGAAATAATGTAAATGGAATGACTCTTGTTGGCGTATGGAAGATGGTGAGGACAGGGGAGTTGGAAAGGTATTACTGTTTGGAAGGAGAGTTGAATCTGCTCAATTAACAGATTACAGAACCAACTAGGAACGAGAACACGCTGGACCTCATATTCACAAACAATGATGAGCTAATCAGAGACATTACTGTCTCGGACACAACATACTCGGACCACAAGCTCATTGAAGTGCAAACTAACATTAATAACGGAAGTAGGCCCAAGAGAAAGAACAAGCGAGAAGGGTTATTCAATAGATTCAATTTTAATAATAAAAGGATAGACTGGGAGAAAATAAACAGGGAACTTACAAACATTCAATGGGAAAATGTTCTAAGTAATAAAAATCCTAAACAAGGAATAGAAAAACTGACTTATGAAGCATATGAAGTCTGTTTGAAACATGTTCCTTTGAGTAAAGCCAGAAAGAGGTCCAACGTAGAAAGAGAATGCAGACGACACTACGGAAGAAGAAAAAAATAACGGAAATGCTTAAGCAGACATGACTTTCCATAAAAAGAAGGAATAATTTAAACAGAGAGATTGAAGAAATCGAACAGAGACCAAAGCATTCATATCAGGTTGAAGAAAGGCAACTAGAACAAAAAACAAAAAAAAAATAAAGAAAAACCCAAAATATTTCTTCACATATGCTAAATTAAAAGCAAAAACCACTGCCAGTATTGGATCTATTCATACTAGTGAAGGTTCATACACTGAGGATGACAAAGAAATTATTGAAATCCTAAAAAAGGAGTATGACATGTTTAGCACTCCGATAAACAGCATGAAAATGGAAGATCCGGACAACTTCTTTTATACGTGATATCCAAACCCCTGTAACTATGACTGATATCAACACGAGCGTGACAGATTTTGAAAGAGAAACTTACAATATGTCCATGCACTATATGTCCCCGGGTCCAGACTCATGGAATTCAATATTTATTTAGAAATGCAAAGTGCCAGTAGCACAGGCACTCGGTATAGTGTGGAGGAGAGCTTGGTCACGGAAGATACCAGATGCGCTTAAAGCAGCAGACATAGCCCCTCTACACAGGGAGGAAGCAAAGCATTGGCAAAGATGTATGTTGACCAGACCACACACTAGAAGTTGAAGGGACGATTTTTTTGTCGTCCCTTCAACTTCTAGTGTGTGGTCTGGTCAACATACTTCAGCCATGTTATTGTGACTCATCACCTGCATTGGCAAAGAATTATAGACCAGTTGCTCATCAGGGAGCCGGTCGGCTGAGCAGACAGCACACTGGACTTGTGATCCTGTGGTCCTGGGTTCGATCCCAGGCTCTGGCGAGAAACAATGGGCCGAGTTTCTTTCACCCCATGCCCCTGTTACCTAGCAGTAAAATAGGTACCTGGGTGTTGGTCAGCTGTCACGGGCTGCTTCCTGGGGGTGGAGGCATGGTCGAGAACCGGGCCGCTGGGACACTAAAAAAAAGCCCCGAAATCATCTCAAGATAACTCAAGATAACGTCCCACATAATAAAAGTATTTGAGTGAGTGATCAGGAGTCAGGTCACTGGTTTCATGGAGACCAATGACCTCCACAATCCAAGCCAACATGGATTTAGAGCAGGAAGATCATGCCCCTCACAGGTACTTGACCATTACAACAAAATCACTGAGGCATTAGTAGAAAAACAGAATGCAGATGTGGTATACATGGATTTGGCAAAGGCATTCATTAAATGTGACCATGGAGTGATAGCACACAAAATGAGGTCAGTGGGAATAACTGGTAAAGTAGGATGCTGGATACTCAGTTTTCTGTCGAACAGAACACACAGAATAACAGTCAGCCATATAAAATAGTCAAAGTGCAGTTAAAAGCTCAGTACCTCAAGGTACAGTCTTTGCATCACTGTTTTTCTTTATTCTCATATCAGATATAGACTCAAATACAAGGCACAGCTTCATATCATCCTTTGCAGATGTCACAAAAATCAGCATGAAAATTACCACTGCTGAAGACATTGAAAAATTACAAGCAGATATTAATAAAATTTTCAACTGGGCAGCAGAAAATAACATGATGTTTAACAGTGATAAATTCCAGGTACTCAAATACGGTAAAAATGAGAACCTTAAACATAATACAGGGTACAAAAGTCAAATTTGCCCATAGTAGGAAAGCAACATGTAAAGGATTTGGGAATAATGATGTCTGATGACCTAAAGTTTAGGGAGCATATCCAAGCAAATATTGCGGCAGCCAGAAAAAATGATAGCATGGTTTACGAGAACTTTCAAATCCAGGGAACCCATCTTGAGATTATCTTGAGATGATTTCGGGGCTTTTTTAGTGTCTCCGCAGCCCGGTCCTCGACCAGGCCTCCACCCCCAGGAAGCAGCCCGTGACAGCTGACTAACTCCCAGGTACCTATTTACTGCTAGGTAACAGGGGCATTCAGGGTGAAAGAAACTTTGCCCATTTGTTTCTGCCTCGTGCGGGAATCGAACCCGCACCACAGAATTACGAGTCCTGCGCGCTATCCACCAGGCTACGAGGCCCCATCACAATAGTTGTACTATACAAATCACTTGTGCTGTCCCGTCTTGAGTACTGTTCTGTACTCGCTTCCCCATTCAGAGCAAGAGAGATTGTTGAAATAGAGGGAGTATAGAGAACATATACGGGATACATAAATGCGATAAAGCATCTAAATTATTGGGATCTTCTCGGAGCTCTCCAAATGTACTCGCTAGGAAGACGGCGGGAGAGATATCAAATAATATACACGTGGAAAATACTGGAGGGCCAGGTCCCAAATCTGCACAGTAAAATAACAACATACTGGAGTGAACAATATGGAAAAAAATGCAGAATAGAACCAGTGAAGAACAAGGCTGCCAGAGGCACAATCGGAGAACACTGTATAAACATCAGAGGTCCGCGGCTGTTCAACATCCTCCCAGCGAGCATAAGAAATATTGCTGGAACAACCGTGGACATCTTCAAGAGGGTACTAGATGGTTTCCTCCAAGGAGTGCCAGACCAACTGGGCTGTGGTGGGTATGTGGGCCTGTGGGCCACTGCAAGCAACAGCCTGGTGGACCAAACTCTCACAAGTCAAGCCTGGCCTCGGGCCGGGCTTGGGGAACTCCCAGAACCCCACCAAGCAGGTATCAAGCAGGGAGTTCCCTTTCGTTATAACATCAGGCAGTGATGACTTTTCAGGGGTACTCTTTCAAGTTTTGCCTGCATACCACTAGGAACTGGTTGTGGCTTGCTGGTTGTTTGTCTCGCTAAGAACCTTTCCATAGCCTTTTTTTACCCTACATTTTAACACTGACATTGTAGTGAGACATTATATTGTCATTAATAAGGTCAATGCAACGGCCTGCTATAGCTTTATCTGGGTGAGTTTTTTCAGCAAACTTTTGCAGTTCTTCCCATACTTCACACATTTTCTTAATGAGGAAGGGATATCCTCTACTGTCTGTACTCTCAACTATTTTCTTAGGTTGAACCTTACCACTGACTTTCTTGGGGCCCATGGCATGATATACAGTATAATAACTACTTTTATGTTCAAAAAACAAAAAAGCACAAACAGTGAAATTCTTTACAAAGAATTCAAGTGCGATCATCACTAAGTGGGCGGTTTGGTAAACTGAAGCAGAGTTGCCCGTGCCACCAGGAACCCCGCGACCCCCCTTCGACCCATATGTGTATCAACAAAGTCACAAGTTAGGCAAAGGTCGTAAGTAGAGTAGCATTTTCTGACGAAATTGGGGTCATAACTCGAAAAATTTGTAAGTAGGGGCATTCGTAAGTCGAGGTTCTACTGTGTATGATTTACACACTTTAAGGGCAAATCACTGAGCTTTCTCTTTAACGAAAGGTTAGAAAGAGATCTACATGAATGCCACAAAAACAAAAAACAGGAGATGCTTTTTCATCAATAGGATTATATACCCATGGAACTGCCTACCCACCAAAGTAATAAATGCCAAAACTGCTGAATTCCAAAATCCAGCTCGATAAAATCATTGGGACAAATGGGACCTTTGGTAAGCCATCGGCTTCCTGTCCTCATCAAAGCCACTAGAGAGATAGTGGCCCACAGGTAAATTTAAGTAAATTTGGTTTTTAGAATGTTTTATACTAATTTTGTTTTGCGAGATATGACAGCATAGACCATACAAGTGATCAAGGAAGATACCTTCTTGATTACTTTCATGTGGACAAATCATGTCTAGCTTTTAAAAGCTACAATAATATTCTGATCTGGAATTTGGTATTTTTAAAATGAAAACAGTTTAAATGTTTTATTTCTCCATTGCAGGAATTCCTTGATGATGGGACAGGGAAGGTAGCAGGTGTACGCACTGTGAAGGTTGAATGGACAAAGGATGAGTGTGGCAGGTGGAAGATGGATGAAGTTGAGGGATCTGAGAAGGTAAAAATAATATTAACAATAAGGAATAACCTTTAACAATGTCTAGAAATTTGATACATAGGTCTTCGGCTCCTTGAATATTCAAGTTCATCATTTTCCAATACAGCATGTAGCAGGTGTCTTCTCTTCCCTTAGCATTTCCATCCTTCCACAACTCAACTGCTGTCTATTGCACCCATACTCCCTAAAGTTAATCTTCCATTTCATTTCTGGTCTCTTTCGCTTCCACTCATTTCTGTAAATTTGCATCAACACTTCTTTCATTTACTGCATGTGGACATGATCATCTCTGAACTCCATCCTTTTTCTTTCCTACAACGTTCTTTATTTCTTCAATTTATCACATTGGTATTCCTCAGCGAGTAGTTTGTCCCCTAAAATGTTACATTTACTCTTGAGCTGTATTTACCCCTTTGTGCAGGGAGGTGCATACCAATAAATACTAGTCATGGGACATACAAGTGTTACAGTAATGAAGCAGATAGTGTAACACAAGAAATTAACAAATAAATTGTCATGATGAACATTGAGCATGTGGAAGATGGAGAAGACAACACACGCCACTAAACTGTTACCAGGAAAATACTGTCACTGTTCATATCAGGGGAGTTTTCTTTGGATAAAGAGGAAAGAAAAACTATGATTATTAACACTAAAACAGAAGCCAAACCACAAGTCTCTATCCAGCTGTGTGTCCATATTGATTTTCTCTGTTATTCCTAATACCATAAGGATCCCATGTGTTTCCTTATAATTTTCTGTGATGTCACTAGAATAGTGTGTTGTAACGTTTTAATCAACACACCCTGTTCTGTTAGTTGCAAGTCAGTTGTGGACCAGTTAGGATTCATCCAGTGACCCTGTGTGTTCGTCTGTAGAGCTCATCATCTGTAATTCTTTCTTGGTACTAAAGTAATATAATGTCAATTCCCCTTTGTTTTCATGTAAGAATATTTCTATTGATTTTCTAAGCACACTATGACCATCTAAGGAATGTTTGGTTAATTACTGAAACATCTTAATGTATGGTGTACCGGCCTGACTGTGCAACTTATCTGTTGTCCCCGCCTGACTGTACAACGTATCTGTTGTCCCCGCCTGACTGTACAATGTATCTGTTGTCCCCGCCTGACTGTACAACGTATCTGTTGTCCCCGCCTGACTGTACAACGTATCTGTTGTCCCCGCCTGACTGTACAACGTATCTGTTGTCCCCGCCTGACTGTACAACGTATCTGTTGTCCCCGCCTGACTGTACAACGTATCTGTTGTCCCCGTGTGATTGTGCAACTTGATGTCCACAGACAGTGGGATCTTGCGTGAAGCATCCAAATATTGCCCTTGAAGATGAGGAATAAAACAGGTTAGAAGGGTTCGATTAGTTAAGTCTCCTACATTAGGAATGTTGTGGAAGAATGGGTAAGGCTACCTACGTGTTTTAATGGTGACTGCTTTGTGATGGTTCTGGGAATCGATATCCTTGCAGCCTGATCTCTGACCAGGCCTCGTAGTTTGTCGTCTGGTGAACCAGTCTGTTAAATGCTGCTGTTCACTGTATAATGTATGAATCATAGCCCATTTGATTAGGTATCCTTTGGTGGTGTTTATCAAATTCTCTTTAGAAAACCTGTGAGAGGTTGGCTAGTTATTTCCATTAAGAGAAAATTTTCTGACAATTAAAATTTTAAATGTATACAGATATGCAATAATTTTGTGTGGTTTATTTAATTTCTTGTCGCATAACATTGGGTAATGATGAGAGCTTTTGTGTGATACATGTTTCAACAATTTACAGGTATACAAGGCGGACTTGGTTCTTCTGGCAATGGGTTTCTTAGGACCTGAGCGTTACATCATTAATGAGCTAGAGATGGAACAAGATCCACGCTCAAATATTTGTACACCAGCAGGCAAATATTCCACAAGTGTGGACAAAGTCTTCGCAGCAGGAGGTTTGTAATTCACAACAAATTTATTTTATTGATTACATTAAAAGTAATGGGCATCAGATTATTAATGTAGATATGGAGGCCAGTAGAGTACAGTAGCCGTATCTATTGTGACGGCCAATTGAAGGCATGGGATCATAAAGAACAAACAAGTGAAGCCAATTAATCTTACTTTTGACAGAATACACTTAATACAATTTTAGTCTTAGTGTGCAACCTCTCTTGCCATCATGTACAGCCACAAGTTGGATTTTCTCCTCCATTTACCTTAACTTTTCACTCAATGTTATTTCAATAATTAAATTTTCCTAGTTGGTTCTTAGTTTTTATATCTAAGGTGTGTTGATTTTCTAAGTAGCGAACTCCCAGGTACCTATATTATGTGCAAAATAAAATATATGCACTAATAATACAGTACTGTGTTTTACTTTTTTTCTATAAACATTTTAGTTAGTAAAAAATAGACAAAGTAAGAGTGCAGTATTAAGAATGTGAAGGGACCAGCATGTGAGGTGGAAGGAGAGGTGTTTGTGTACTTATTTAACCCGTGTTATAGTATGGTCTGTATATATTTCTTTAACATTATACATACTGTACTCTATTGCATTTTAATTCATTTTAATGCAATTAAGCAAAACAATGAACTTTGGTCTCAAAATTGTCTTCAAAGTGCTATTTGCAATGCACTAGTATGTTAGTTTGCTACATAGAAATCATGCTAGTTCTTTATAACAAAATATTGTAGTATTTATTATAAAAAATTATTCATAATATATTAACATTAAAATAAATAGAAAATGCTATTAATGTTTTAATTTTGTTCATTCACTTTTACAGACTGTCGACGCGGTCAATCTCTTGTTGTGTGGGCCATTAATGAAGGTCGTCAGGCCGCACGTGAAGTGGACGCTTACCTCATGGAGTTTTCTACACTTCCACTAAATGGTGGAGTTGTCCAAATCACACAGAAAGGCTAAATTTTTGTCACTGTTGAAACTGGCTTATTGAGTGAGCAAAATTTGCTATGTCGGTTAGGGGTCCAATTCTGTTGAATTTGGCAGTATTTATTATTCCTTCACAATGTTAAGGAGAGTGCATGTAATATGCTGATCCACTATTAGCTGTTGAGCAGTTTGAGGATCTATTTTAGTAACCTGTATATATGATGCATTGAAAAATGTTCTGATCTGATGTATGGTGAAGAGAGGTTGATATGTGAAGGAGACATAGGAAACATGCTGTCACCTCTGGCTAGGTGGTTCAGAAGTGTGTACAGGTTTTAATTGCACCTGCCAACCTCCGACGAGCGGGGATCAGTGTTATTTTATTATTATTGTACATAGTCATTACAGAGAATGGTGAAATGATAGTCTTAAGAGTAGTAGAAGATTGTGCATTAATGGTATACAAATTTTAATGTTTACAAAGTTCTAGTGAAGTACTTTTTCTGACAAGTGCATATAATTAATACACCAAATATGAATATAATAATGAAGAAAATAGTGTTTGAATCAGTCATAAACCATTCAGCAGTTACATTGTAATTGTAGTAAAAATAGTTACATGTATTCTGTATGAAGAATGTAAACAACTTGTCATTTACTCTAAGGAACAACGTATTTTAAACGTTATAAAACACAATTCAACATTATTTCAAGGTAATAGAGGCATATGTAAAATGTCACAGTAAAAGGAACTATTTGTAAATTTTATTACTGTTATGGTTTTTTTTGGTTTTGTCAATGCACAAATTATAGTATCATATTTTGTGACAGACATGTTCTGTTGTAATACTGCATAAGAGTAATTACTTCAGTTATTGGTGACTGGGTTAGAATAAGATAAACATATCCTCGATTTAATATGGATGACATTCCCAATCCATCACTCTAAACATTGGCAGCCTAAACTACAAAAATGATAAGGCTGCTTTTTAATTTTACTTTAATCAAAGTTTGTCGCTTACCTTCCACCATGCTGATACGCTGTACTATATAAAAATAGTACCTAAATAGTGACCTTTGTATTTGTGCTTCAGGATTTTAAGAGCAGATTCCAGCCAATTGATTGTGATGTACATTTTCCAGTATTGTGTGCAAAGTATTGATGTAGTATTCTTAAATTGACTTTGTTGCAGTGCTATAGCATCTTGGGAATTGGCTGTGTTAGCTAACGTACGTTGGCTACGACGTGATTTTCTGTGGGAAGTTCTGTGGAAGAACTCGCAACATATCTTTGGTAGTTAAATACTGTTAAATAACTGCCTTCAATTTGTAGGTATTTGTTGTGTAGTTCCATAAATAAAATAGCAGTGGAAAATTTTTATTGTGTAATCTGTGGAGAAGTTTATTAGAATACAGTAGTGTTCTATCAGATAGGATACTGAATATTTAAGTATATAGTAGTAAATCAACAAAATATATAGCAGTAAATCAACAAAATTGAGTTATAGAAATTATTTGCTATATTGATAGCTTAATTGTTTTTATAAAAACTGAATATTTTGGTGCATAAAAATTTGTTACTTTGGATAGTAACAGTTTAATCAATCAAGGGTTAAATGCTCTCAAACAAATGTTTATTTATATATTTTTTAACCATTATTTTTTTTTTTTTTTTAATTGAGAAGAGCAAATTTATTGAATTTAATTTAGGCACTAAATTGGAGGAAAATTACATTGCACTTGTGTAAACTTAGCTGGTGTAATGTACTTTATCAAATTCTTTTATTAGAAACTTAAAAACTTGAGTTAGATTATTCAAAATGACTTGTGACCGTAGGTGGTGGAAGTATTAAGCAATGCCTCTTGTTTTGTAAAGGGTTTAACTGTATAACAAAAACAATTATTTCCAGCCTGAAAGTTTATATTCCGCTGCATGTATCGACTGCGGAGAAATGCAAAGACTCAATGGGAACAAATGTATACTGTATATATGACACATTCAAAGATTTGTCAGTCTTTAAAGCCCTGTAAAAATAATTTACAATTAAGTTAAAAAATAACATTAATTAGAAAGGTTTTGAAAGGATAATAACTTGAAATAGTGTATATTAAATATTTAACTATTTTTAGTAATTTGTCATTATGCACACAATATCCATTTTGGTTTATTCATATATAAATAATTGAAAGTTATTTATATGGTTTATCCTTTATGCAGTATACTATACATAATTAAAGGCAGAATAGTGAGAAATACTTTCTCATGTTCATAATGCAGTGTATAAGTATACACCAGTTCTTTAGACTCCACTTAAGAAAACCCAATTTATCTGCAGTAATGTTACTGATAACATAGTGTGTTCTTCAGGTATTTGTTTCCTAAGGTATTTGTCTTGCTTACTTTACATCTACGTTAAGGGAGCTGGCTTAAGCTCTTCCAACTGCATGTGATAGTGATGCCTGGTCAATGTGAAACTTTGTCTTCCATAGATTATGGTAGATAAGACTACAGTAGACAGTTTCTTGATGTCATAGATGTCATGTAGATTGTAAACTGTATCTTGGTGTCGTAACTGTCGGAGTAACCGTTCAAATTTTAATGGTAAGCAGTAGATCCTTGTTTCATTGGATAAGAGTGTAGATTGTACAGTACATTATGTTAGATTGTATTGAGCCATTCATGTGATACTATCCGTCTACCTATGATGTAAATTAGTATTTTATTCAATAAACTTGTGGTAATGGCATGTTCTGAGGATTTGAAGTACTGTACTTCGTATCATTTACATGGAAAACCATCTGATGTCTAGAGCTGTGCTTGCAATGGCTTTTTCAAGTTAAGATTTGTAATTAATTTCCTGTAGGAAACCTGATAACATATTTTATTTTAATGACATTTAGTCATTTTTATTCTTGAAATTATTATTCATCAGATACTTAAGGTGTATGCATTGGATTAATACAAGTGTTATTTTTATTTTGTGAATTTATATTTTATTGCAATGTTGCTCTTCTGAGGGAAGAGGTGTTATGGTGTAGATAATTTGTCACCGGTTCTAATTTGATATTTAAAGTATTTTTAATATGTTTTAAAGTTAAGATCAACCATGTAATCTGCCATGGAGAGTGGGTATTTAGCTCACTGTTCAACATAGCTACGTTACTTAAATATATAAGGTACTGTTAGAGCAAATATTAAAATACTGGTTTGTTTTTACCCTGAATTGTTTGGTCTGCACCACGAACGATGGCTCAAGTCTTCCTACCTTGGTGCCTTTTTTTAGACTTTCCCTGAAATTTGAAATAAATATTATAGTATTTAAATTAAAAAGGTTCATAAATTTGTTGTGGCAATAAGTGAATTTTTTCTAACATTTGATTTGCCTCAAATGGACCAATTGTATAGACATGGTGAGGGGGACTCCCAGGTAACATTCAGTGATAGCTGTGGGTGCCTTTGGCTCCTTCTCCTGCCTGCTGAAATGGCATCTAGGCAAAAATGACCAACTTAATAGGAACCCAATTTAGGTCGTTATATCATCCATTGAAGAGGTGGCCTGTTAGGGGCTTACCCTCTGTGGTATGGTGGGTATAGGTGTCTTGGCCAGGGTGCGGTGGATGTGGGTGTCTGGGCCAGGGGGTGGTGGGTATGGGTGTCTGGGCCAAGGTGTGGTGGGTATGGGTGTCTGGGGCAGGGTGTGGTGGGTATGGGTGTCTTGGGCAGGGTGCGGTGGGTATGGGTGTCTGGGGCAGGGTGCGGTGGGTATGGGTGTCTGGGGCAGGGTGTGGTGGGTATGGGTGTCTGGGGCAGGGTGTGGTGGGTATGGGTGTCTGGGGCAGGGTGCGGTGGGGAATTGGGTCTTGGCAGCAGTGTGGACAAATGCTTCAGTGTTGAAAAGTGAAGAGCACTGTTTGATACAATTTATCGTGCCTTGCACTGGCTCATGTTTGATACCTCTAACTGCACTAGTATGTGGTATTTTATGGCTCTAGGGTTCCTCATTTTTTTTTCAATAGTTATGAATTGTTTGGCAATGGGGCTTTGACCTATGTGAAAGTTTCTTTGTTCTATAACATCTCTTAAACATGGGTTATAGAATTTTCTTGGAATTCATGTACCTTTTCGCACTCCATCACGTAGTGACGGAGGGTGTGCGAATAATTTTGTTGACAGTTTACATTTGGTCAAGTCTACATCAGCAGATATTGAGAATTCCCAGATACTTGTAACAGTCTAAGCCGAGCAGTAGTAACACCCAGAAGTCTGTTTTTATTGGATGATCCATAGATGTGTGGCTCTTCTTGCATGATAGTTTGATAGCTGGAATTACTAGAGAAGATTTCACTTTGCCTCAGATTTACAAGGTTTTGTTGAAGTTCTTGATGTATTATTGCTTTCAGACTGCTTGTAGGCAATCCAAGGTTATCACCACCTCCTATGAAGGCAGATTCTTTGGCTAACTCATCGGCTATATCATGCATTCGAAGGCAACATGAGATGGACTCTGTTACCATAAAAAATTTTATGGTAGTGTCTGAAGCTAGACACATACATTACAGCTATGTCTTCGAGTTGAGAGCCATTAAGGATGATAGTCACTTACAATTAATATCTAAGTTTGGAGACTTGTACACATTTCAGTGCAAGAAGCAAGGCAAACAGTTCGGTCTGAAGGGTAGAGGTTGTGTAAACGGACTCCCCACTCAAACTATAAGCCATCACCCATTGTTAGGACAACTGCACTTCAGCTGCACCTGTGGGGCACTGGAGGGAACCATCAGTGTATATGGTATGAGATATTTTCATTTCATTACTTTTTTACACCCCATACTCATCCCGTGGGTGGTGGTTGAAAAGGTTGCAGAGGCGCATAATGGTTTCAGGAACTGAACCTCCTACTTCGTTTAGCAAAGCAAGTGACAATCTTGTGAAGTAAGTTATACAATTGTTAATATTACACACACATTTTGCCCTGCTTACTCTTCTGCTTCTCCTTCTACTCTTCGCCGTCTTGATGCTTTGCACCATACTGGGTTGCGTCTCAGCTCTGGTGCCTTTCGTTCGACTCCCGCCCTCAGTTTGTATGTTGACACTGGCTTTCTCTTCAGGACCGCCGTGATCGCTACTGTCTTCGCTATCTTGCGGGGTCCTTACAACATCCTTCCTCTCGCCTCTGTCGTGCTTTGACTTTTCCTCCTCCTGTAGCTCCTGTTCCTCTTCATCGTCTCCCACTTTCTGTCCGGTTATCTCGCTTGCAGAATTCTCTTTCTGTTCATATTTCTAATGTTTCTCCTCATATTGTTCTTTCCTTGCCTCCATGGAGAGTCCCCCTTCCCAAGTTTTGTACGTCCTTGACTTGTATTACTAAAGCCTTTACCCCTCCTACAATTCTGAAAAGCCTCTTCCTAGAGCACTTTTCTTCGCACTCCCACTCTATTTCCATCTTTACCGATGGGTCTAAGTCTGCGGACGGTATGGGCTACTCTGTTGTTTTTCTTGACCATACTTATATGTGTTGCCTCCCTTCGGAGGCTAGCGTCTTTACGGCGGAACTTTTTGCTATTCTCTATGCTCTCCGTCTCTTGCTTTCTCATTCCTCCTTTGTGGTTGTAGTTGACTCTGGTAGTGCCCTCATGGCTCTTGCGTCCTTTAATCCTGTCCACCCAGTGGTCATCGAGATTCAGCAATGGGTGTTTCTTATTTCTAGTAAATTTAAATCGGTAGAGTTTTGCTGGGTTCCCAGCCATATTGGTGTTTCTTTCAATGAGCGTGCGGATGCTGCCGCTAAGGACACTATCAGTTCTTGTCCTATCTCCCGTAAAGGTCTTCCTTATTCCGACTTTTATCCTGTTATTCATTCCTCCATCCTTGCCCGTTGGCAGGGTTGTTGGTCCTCTGTGGTTAGTAACAAGCTGCGTACTCTCAAACGTAGTGTGTCCCCGTGGCCTTCCTCATACCACCGTAACTGGCAGTGGGGAATCTGCTTTGGCACGGCTGCGGGTTGGCCATACTCGCTTAACCCACGGTCACTTAATGGAGCGTCGCCCTGCTCCTTATTGTCCGAATTGCGTTGTCCCTCTTACAGTTGTGCATAACCTTGTTGAATGTCCTGACTTCCAGGACGAGCGTGTCTCTTGCTTTCCGACCGTCCCTCGCGGTCACTTGTCCCTCGATAGAATTCTAGGTGAATCGGATACTTTTGATATCGTTCGCCTTGTGCGTTTTTGTTCTCGTATTGGCTTTCTTGGTGATATTTAGCGCCCTCTGATTATTTCGCACTTTGATGGTGTTACATAGCCTTCCCGGTTTGGTGCCTTCTTTTGATAATTACCTTACACACACATTTACATATATATACATACATGTACATGTATGGATACATATATATACATGTACACAAATACATATACATATCAATAAACTTTTGATACCACAAGTGATTAAAAAAATAAAAAAGGCTCAACAGTGTCTATACAAGGCACTATGGCAAGTCCAGCCCGTCCTCCAAAGACCCAAATGTAATTCCAAGCAGCTGCCAAAGCCCCCTGTTTATGAATGAAAAATGGTTTACAGACAACTCGCAACTGATTTCGTTCAAACGCTTCAGGAACAAGTGCTTCGCTAACTAATTTTGTTTCAACCACAGCACTGTAAATGCTTCACCCACGTACTACAAATACAAATGATTGCCAACAGAACCTAAACGCCTAACCTACCCCAACCTAATCCATGCCTATATATGTGCAATATGCTAATATATTATAATATTAATTTATATTTGAGAAAAGTCCTGTTTTGAATGAACATGTAAAAATTTATGAATGTGTGTCTGGGGTTGGGGTTGTTTTTAGCCCAAAATTTCGCTACTTTTTAGCCCAAAATTTCGCTACTTTCGCTACTTTTTTCCCAAAATTGGGCTACTTTCGCTACTTTTTAGCCCAAAATTTTGCTACTTTTGCAACTTTTAACCCAAAATTGGGCTACTTTCGCTACTTTTTGCCCAAAATTTCGCTACTTTTGCTACTTTTTACCCCAAAAATTTCGCTACTTTTGCTACTTTTTAGTCCAAAATTGGGCTACTTTCGCTACTTTTTAGCCCAAAATTTCGCTACTTTCGCTACTTTTTAGCCCAAAATTTCGCTACTTTTTAGCCCAAAATTTCGCTACTTGTGCAACTTTTTGCCCAAAATTTCGCTACTTTCGCTACTTTTTAGCCCAAAATTTCGCTACTTTTGCTACTTTTTACCCCAAAATTGGGCTACTTTCGCTACTTTTTAGCCCAAAATTTCGCTACTTTCGCTACTTTTTGCCCAAAAATGGGCTACTTTCGCTACTTTTTAGCCCAAAATTGTGCTACTTTTGCTACTTTTTAGCAGAAAATTGGGCTACTTTCTGCCCAAAATTGGGCTACTTTCGCTACTTTTTTGCCCAAAATTGGGCTACTTTCGCTACTTTTTAGCCCAAAATTGGGCTACTTTCGCTACTTTTTAGCCCAAAATTGGGCTACTTTCGCTACTTTTTAGCCCAAAATTTCACTATTTAGCCCAAAATTGGGCTACTTTCGCTACTTTTTTGCCAAAAATTTCGCTACTTTTGCTACTTTTTAGCCCAAAATTGGGCTACTTTTGCTACTTTTTGCCCAAAATTGGGCTACTTTCGCTACTTTTTAGCCCAAAATTGGGCTACTTTCGCTACTTTTTAGCCCAAAATTGGGCTACTTTCGCTACTTTTTAGCCCAAAATTGGGCTACTTTCGCTACTTTTTAGCCCAAAATTTCACTATTTAGCCCAAAATTGGGCTACTTTCGCTACTTTTTTGCCAAAAATTTCGCTACTTTTGCTACTTTATAGCCCAAAATTGGGCTACTTTCGCTACTTTTTGCCCAAAATTTCGCTACTTTTGCTACTTTTGAGCCCAAAATTTGGCTAGTTTCGCTACTTTTTAGCCCAAAATTTTGCTACTTTCGCTACTTTTTAGCCCAAAATTTCGCTACTTTTTAGCCCAAAATTTCGCTACTTTTAGCCCAAAATTTCACTACTTTTAGCCCAAAATTTCGCTACTTTTTAGCCCAAAATTTCGCTACTTTCGCTACTTTTTAGCAGAAAATTGGGCTACTTTCACTACTTTTTGCCCAAAATTGGGCTACTTTCGCTACTTTTTAGCCCAAAATTTCGCTACTTTCGCTACTTTTTAGCCCAAA